ATATATAGCTTAAAAATATAGAAATACTTATTTTTTTACTATAATTAATATATCTTAATATATTTTTCTTATAAGTTATAGATTATTTTAATATAGCTATTTTAATCCCTATATATAGATATATAGGTCGAGAGTTTATATAGAAAAAAACCCATTTTAATATTGAAATGCGCGGATCTAGGATGTTAGTATTATTCTTTCAATGGGCGTTAAATGACTGCATGGCCATATAATCTGGGAGTCATATACTATAGTATTAACTCTTTATGTTTTACTATTTACTCAAATACTTCTATAGAACCTAAAATTTGCTATCTTAGAGTGCTGGCAAGGTCTAGATTCCGGAGACGTGTAGGGTAATTGGTAATGATAGAGAGGAGTTATAAAGCAGTTGAAAATAAAAAAATGATATGCATTATTGGCCGCGTAGCGCAATGGCAGCGCGTTAGATTTCGGTACACCGAAGTTACAAGTTCTCTAAAGGTTCCAGGTTCGATCCCTGGCGTGGTCGAAGAACCCCTTGTCTGGTTTTTTTCCTTTTTTTGCATCAATCTGCTCCTAATATATAGCTGGTGCACCTTTGATATCATAGTAAAAAAAAAAGAGACTCTTATAGAAAATAGCCATGCATTTAAAGGCTGTACCGGCAGCAAAGGCTGTACCGGCAGCAATATCGTTCATGATATCATTTCTCATAGCATCATTATTTATCTATTGGTCGTAACGACGGATGAACATGTTCGTGTTGTTGATAGCCGCGGGGCCGAGTAATCTTGCAGGAGGATGATGCAACATGCGCCTTATTAGAGCTGCATCTCCCCAACGCCATTCATTAATCAAAATTTGCGACAGGATGCCAGGTTGCTGTCCCTCACCTTATTCTGGCAGTTTGTCCTCATACGCGATCCAGAAATATCAAGGTGCATACGAAATACCGTCACACCTATGAATACTACGTTTCTAGTAATTACTAGCAGCTAGCAGACAAGTAGGCCCTACTACTCCTCCCCCGCTCGGCATCGGGCCCGGCAACGTGGTGGGGTAGCACGACAGGAGAGCCCGAAAGCCGGCGCAAGACACAGAAGCCTCGTTACAGCCACAAAGCCTTGGGCTATTCTCCACGGCTATCGGGGGCAGGTATAGAGCAGAACTGGAATTGCGTCAATAACAGTACTTATGGCAGAATGGGGACAAGCCAGCCTGTTCGTTAGTGGCGCAGCCAATGGTTGGCATGGGGCAGCACGCAATCGGTCGGCCGCACTATAGCTTTAAGGAGGGGTTCAATGACATTACAGAGAAGCTGTTCGAATCGCGGGGTTCGTTTTGTTGGTGTTGCTCACTCTAGTATGATGATAGCTTGGCGATGAGGCCATAATAGCCCAATAACATGGTGGAGAACTACCAATGCTGCTAGATTTTTTGAAAAAAAGATGGCGACGATGACCATTGCAACAGCTAATGATTCAATGTTCTGAGGCAATTATACCTACAGTAGCTACATATTTAATAACTACCTGGCGTCGTTACCCCTCCCCCTCCTTTTGGCCCCTCTTGACCCCCCTCCTCCTTCTTTCCTTCCTTCCCCTCCATACGAACATCACAACAACCCTCAGCCACGATATTCAACTTACTTTCTAATTTCTTGTTTACTCGAAGAAGAAACTACCAACTCAGACACAATGGCTTCCCAGACTGCTCCTCTCCGTCTCGGCTCCGTCGCCCCCAACTTCCAGGCCGAGACCACCCAGGGCAAGATTGACTTTCACGAGTTCATCGGCGACAACTGGGTCATCCTCTTCTCCCACCCCGAGGACTACACTCCCGTCTGCACCACCGAGCTCGGTGCTTTTGCCAAGCTGGAACCCGAGTTCTCCAAGCGCGGTGTCAAGTTGATCGGTCTCTCTGCCAACACTATCGAGTCTCACGGTGGATGGATCAAGGACATTGCCGAGGTCACTGGTGGCAATGTTTCCTTCCCTATCATTGGCGACAAGCAGCGCCAGGTCGCTCTCGCATACGACATGTAAGCTCTACTTATCCTTTGTTCTCCTCCTCTCTGTTCTCTATCCGTCTAGTGCACGCGTGGTATTGCATTGTAGAGATATTAACAGCCCAACAGGATCGACCACCAGGACGCCACCAACGTCGACGAGAAGGGCATTGCCTTCACCATCCGCTCCGTCTTCTTCATCGACCCCAAGAAGAAGATCCGTACCATCCTCTCCTACCCTGCCTCGACCGGCCGCAACGCCGCTGAGGTCCTCCGCATCATCGACTCGCTCCAGACCGGCGACAAGCACAGGGTCACCACCCCCATCAACTGGGTTCCTGGTGACGACGTCATTGTCGCCCCCTCGGTCAAAGATGAGGAGGCGAAGACTCTTTTCCCCAACTTCCGCACTGTCAAGCCTTACCTCCGCTTCACCCCTCTCCCTAAGGCTTAAATAATTCATGACGGAAGCCTGAAAACGGTGACAAGGAAAATCTTATTGATGGAAACCCATGGCCCTTTGTGCTACAGTGTAAAAGTGAAGATACCTTTTGTAGCCAGGACATCGGGCCATGGAACAAAACGCAACTACTAGTAGATATATGACCTCTCTTGGGGCGATGTTAAGCAGCTATCTCCTTTGTTACAGCAACAGACAGTTATTTATCACAGAAAAAAAAAAGTAAACGGTGACATGTCTTATTTTCTTTTATCACCTACTAGGTGACGTGTCTACTATATGTGGCCTGTTATGGAGAGTGAAATTACAGTAATACAACGGTGGGAGCACAGAGCATGGTGGGCGTCAAGTAAGACATTAGAAGCTGTCAGTGATTTCCGTGAGTCGGGATACTTAAAAAAATGATTATTCTCTCGTACTCGTTCCATGATGTTGATAGAATATGGGGCTGAGCGTGTGAAGTCTCGTATCTACCCCGTACTTCGTACTAAAATATCATCTGGAAATGTACTTGTAGACCTTTGCAAGTATGACAATACGACTTAGTTTTATAATGGAGCCACGTATATCAAAGCCGCTGGTATATGAGACCAAGCTAACAGTGGGTTTTCACAATGTAATATTCATCTTCTATTTCTGAGCTACGCGGCTGGGGAAGCTGGGGAGAAGAACATGCGTTCGTTCATCTATCCCACGGCACACTCCGTAGACTTGTAGTAATATTAGCAGTCTAATACTTGTACTCAGTTGCAGGGGGGACAGGAAACGAGATAGAGCGTACGAGTATGTCGTTGGGCGTTCGTGGTAGTTAGCGGCCACATCTGTAAACACTGCCGCGTGGCAAGGGTAAACAAACCAGGGGCTGGCTTCAAAGTCTGCCGGTACACTGGTCCGGACATGGGTGATTGATTGTGGGTACGAGGTATTACATCAGAGTTATCAACATGCGACGACGGACTGGTAGGGGAGGGGAGCCCTCTTTTTGTTTCGACGACGATACAGACATTAGTTGGCGACCACTGAGTCTTAGCCAGGTATTAACGGGGACGGGCCGGACGGGGCCATGTAGTACGACGTTAAACGTGAATGTAATATCATGATGGGATAGCAGCAACGCACTCCGATGCACGTGGTAGCATGACATAGGCAATAATAGCAGTGTCAGTAAATAACTACACGTCGTGAGCAGTAATGGTCCGGCGCACAAGTGAGCTCTATTTGCTTATATTATTAGCGTACTGTCTATTAATGCGACGTGCTGCAGGTACGAAGTAATATTCCTTCTTTCTGTATTATAGGTACGGACGCACTCGTAATTGTGCTCTGCGCGCTGGTACTTCTAGTGTTATTATTCTATCCATAGCAGTCATCGTAAAGTAGGTGACCTGCTTCCCCCAATATCACAAAAAGAAATCACTAGGAGGGCCGGAAATATGCTGCATCTTTTTCCATGAAATTATTATCTTAGTATTATTGCAACTGATTATTCTGGCTTGATTGCTATAATGAAACGGCTACCAACAACTGGCCAAACAGTTAAAGAGGCGCACTATGGGGAGCGAGTTGTCAGTCATATATGTAGTCAGAGTACGGATACTACAAGCGTTGCATCACTCTGTATGTTACAGACTATATACGTACCCGTAATCAATCGACTACGGAGTATTTCAAAGAATATATCTGCCCATTAGGCCCTAGTCCCCTGAAAGACCTGGAAGGACCATCCAAATGTCCCCGAAACGGGATAGAACCAGGCAGCATAGTAATAATACGACGTCGGGTTGCAAAAGACGCCGGCTCTGCGGAAAGGCGGTGGGGATAGATACCCGTGGTGCTAATACGGCAAGAGCCAGTGACAGTAGTACAGCCCTGGTTCCTGCCTTTTATCCCCCGTATGGTAGTTGCTTGTTCTGATGAGCGCACGCTACATGCCACCTCATCATCCTCATCCTCATTGTCATCATCGTCCTCCTCCACAACAGGAACAGCATACATCGTACTCACAGAGAGCTCGGTCCCCTTGTGATTTTGATATTCGACTGAATACTTTGTTATCTATAAGCTTCCCCTTTACAGACTGTCCGCCGTCATTTCCGCCTCTACCAGCATAATTCGCCCCACAATGGTCGACAAAAACCAGAGGTGCGAGTGTATTCAGCGTCATCTGCCTTTGCCTCCATTCTAGATTCGTTAATTGGATTGGTACACTCCTATCAAACATACTGTACCTCCTCATTCGTTAGGACAGAGCTTCTCTCGATTGGTATGTGTAGCACCATCATATTTCGTTATTCCCGCTCCTCTCTATCTCCCTGCGACGGCATTGTCGTCATCGGCTACACGTTGCGGACACATGCATAATTGTATAATTGTATCTTTTTTTTTGTTGCAGTTCCTTCCAATGTTGTGTCTTACCTTTTTTTTAAACCTCTTCGTTATGTGTTACGAAAAGATTATAGTGCTAGCGTAAGGGGGGGTAAACCCCCATATTATCCAGAACCGTGGAAGCAATTATATCGCCCCTCGTTACCCATCCCTGACCCCCCTGGCTCCCTAGTGGTTCCCGAGCCCTGGCCGTTGCGGCGGCGCCGCAGCGGTAAGGACAGATGCTGTCCTCTCCCTGAAATCACCCCAGTCTATCATATCCTGCTTCTCTCTTTTCTTCCTCCCTACCCAGCCCTCCCCCTTCCGCCCCTCCTCCAAAACCCTCGAGGGCTTCATAACGCGCCTCCAACTTGCAAACTCCACTCGCTTCCTCCCTGACCCCTGTAGGCCAAGTCGTCTTTTGCTTTCTTCGCCAGCTTCCTTTCTCCCAAACTCAACCTGCCAGGCTCTTTGCTCCATAGCACCCCCCCCCCCCCCATTATCCTAACCCACCCTCCTCTCCCCACCCTATCCACGACCCAGGAGCCAATTTTATCGCTTCTCGTCTTTGGAGATTGAACGAGAACCACTCTTGCTCCAATCTACCAAGTACCAGGTGGTCCGTCACTCCTTTTCAACTCAAGTTTGATCCAGCAATTAATCTACACACACGGCATGTTTTTTTTATGACCATCTATCTTCTCGGCCCCTTCCCCCCTCCTCCTGAACTTGCCATGATATTTCCTAACCTCCAACCGCACTGGTGTATCGTGACGCTCTTGTCATCGCCATTATCGTCATCATGTCAGAACTAACAGAAGAAAACGAACAGCAGGAGCAGTCCAGCCTCTCTGCGACCGACATTTCCCGCTTCTCCGATTCTGACGACGGACGAGAAACCGACCACTTTCCCCAGACTTCCACCGGGCCCCCCGCCCCTTCCTCCGGCCGCTATACACCCGACATCTTCTCGGGCGTGTATCGAACCTTGAAAAAGTTCCCGTCAGTCAGCAAGAAACCCAAGAACGTCGTCCCAGCCCCGTATCCCTACACGAGGAGCAACAGCACTGCCGGCCTCGAGTCGCTTAGTTCTGTCCCTTCTCCCCACCGGAGGAACAACAGTCGAAGCAACAGTAACGCGGGCCTGGAGTCTATTACCTCGGCCTCGTTTCCTCACCCAAGGAGCAACAGCAGAAGTAATAGCAACGCAGGCATCGACTCGATTGCTTGCGCCCCATTTCCCCACCCAAGAAGCTACAGCAGGAGTAATAGCAACGCGGGCATCGACTCGATTACTTCCACCTCGTTTCCCCACCCGAGAAGCTACAGTAGGAGTAATAGCAACGCCGGATTTGAATCGCCTGCCCCGGGCTGCTATCCCACATATCCATACCAGCACCAGCATGCAAGCAGCATAAGTCTGCAACAAAGCCTCGATAAGCCGCTACCACGACCACCCTCACCCACTCGCCAAGATCCTCTTCTTCTGTCGCCCGATCGCATATTGTGCCCTCAACGTGGACCGCCACCGGTGCCGGCTCAAACGATGGACCAGAGCGGAAGGACGTACATCGGCCAGGACCAGCAATACGCACACGACCTGAGCAGCAGCATGAGCAGCATCGGCAGTGCTAGGAATGACGTGTCACCCGTGAGTGCCGGTGATGAAGGCCTACAACCCAGGAACAACACAGGTACCCCAGGCCCCTCACCCAACACTGGTGCCCGAGTCCAGCAGTCTTCGAGCGTCCCTGCCTCGTCACAGCCGCAGGCATCCGCATCATCGTCCCATCTTTCTGGTCTCATGTGTAATGTCCACCGCACCACCGGCCGTGAACCTCACCCATTGGTTGGGGCCACAACCACAATTCTGGGCGACAAGCTATACGTCTTTGGCGGCAGAATACTCTCTCGCAGCCGCCCTGCACCTCTAACCTCGGATCTGTACGAGCTCGATTTGATCCGTCGCCACTGGACCAAGCTGGAGACGACGGGCGACGCCCCACCCCCTCGCTACTTTCATTCTATGTGCGCCCTCGGCGACACGAAGATGGTGTGCTATGGTGGCATGTCTCCCGTCCCCAACCAACCAAGTCAACAAGGACAGCAGCTGCCCTCTGCTGACCAGCAACCTGACCTCACTGTCTTGTCCGACATTTATATCTACGACGTGCCCACCAAGAAGTGGATCTACGTGCCCACGCAAAACGCCCCCCAAGGCCGGTACGCCCACTGCGCCTGTGTACTCCCTTCCTCAGCTTCTTTCGCCTCGCACCGTGCCCCGCTCTCGGCCCTCCAGCACAACCCGTCGTCGAACAATCCCAACGAGGGCTACATTGGCATCAATATTGATGGCGCAGGCGGCGCAGAGATGATTATCGTCGGCGGTCAGGACGGCGCAAACCGCTACATTGAGCAGATCAGCGTCTTTAACCTGCGCAGCCTGAAGTGGACGTCGACAGAGACCCTGGGCAAGAGCTGCGGTGCCTATAGGAGTGTCGCCACCCCCTTGCCTGCTGCTGTAACCGCCAAGGTCGGCATGGCCCACTCCAACGGTGGCGCCCAGCGCGACAATACCAACGACACCCGTGATGCGAGCGCATCTATGCTAATATACTCCAACTACAACTTCCTCGACGTCAAGCTGGAGCTGCAGATTCGTATGCCTGATGGTACCCTTGAGGAGAGGCCGATGTCGGGCTCTTATTCGCCTCCGGGTCTCCGCTTCCCCAATGGTGGTATTATCGACCACCACTTTGTCGTCAGTGGCACCTACCTCACATCCTCCAAACAGGAATATGCCTTGTGGGCATTGGACCTCCGTACGCTCACGTGGAGCCGCATCGATGCCGGCGGCAGTGTTTTCAGCCAGGGAAGCTGGAATCGTGGTGTGCTCTGGAACCGCCGCAACACATTCGTCATTCTCGGAAACCGCAAGCGCAGCCTCGTTGACGACTACAACCATCGCCGACTCAACTTCTCCAACGTTTGCATGGTCGAACTCGAGGCCTTTGGATTCTATGACAACCCGCGCAAGGTGGCTCCCTTATCTGGGTTTGTCTCGGCCAGCTGTCCTTATGCGGGTCCGGGCTTGAGCCTGGCGCGCAAAGCAGGCTATACTGCCGGTGGTAGGTCACACTCTAAAGCAAGCGATGAATTGGGCGAAAAGGCCCTAGCGCTACGCGAGCTTTCGGATATGGACATTCTCTGCATCGGGGGCGAGAGGATTCCCATCAATTCAAGGATAGTGGCGCGTCGCTGGGGGCCCTACTTTGTGCAGCTCCTGCGCGAGGGTACGGCGACGCAGGATGGCAGTGATGCCGTGACTTTGCGCTCCGGGCTCTCGAGCAATCCTATGCGCGTGTCGGCCATAACCATTACCCCGAACAGCCGACACGGCCCCGAAAACAGCCTCAGCGGCGCTTCCATATCATCGATGTCGTCATCTGCGACCTCAACGTCTGGCTTCTCAGGTACCACAACTACGGGTGGCGGTGCCACTTCTGGGACAATTACAGAGGCAGACGACGCCAACCCGGCTGCCATCAATGGTGCACCAACGCCCAAGTCGCTATCGCCAACCTCCCGGCCGCGATGCTTCTACATGCCTCATACGTTTCTAACGGTGCAGGCCCTGCTACACTTTGTCTACACAAGCTCCCTTCCTCCATCTTCTTCACCGTTATGTACGCCCCAGATTCTTTGCTCCCTGCTTCAGATTGCGCGTCTGTACCGTGTTGATGGTCTCCTTGAAGCCGTTGTCGAGCGCCTCCACTCGCTTCTGGACAGCCGCAACGCTGCTGCCGTGTTCAACGCGACAGCTATGGCGGCAGGTGGCGGACGAGGAATCGATGGGTCTGCCACCAGCAGGCTGTCCGCAATGAACAATAGAAATGGCATTGCGGATGGCATCCCCGACTCGCCGATCTTGGCTGGCACAAATGGTACTGGACTGTCTATTAACACTGATATCGCTCTGCCGGCGGCATCATCACGGCCGGGATCTGATGACATGTCTGCAAGTGCCAGTGGATCAGAATGGAGCTCTTCGGAGGCAGGTGGTGACAGCCGAGAGCGCAAGAGCCGCACCGCAATCTGGGAGGGCGAACTCAGCAGCGTGATTGGTCTGCAGAAGAGGGGCCTGCGTGGACTCATGGAAGGCCGCAGGATGAGAGAGAGAACGGGAACCAGTGCTGGTGTTGGGAGCGTTTCGGCACAGGGAGGCCAGAGAGTAGGCTTAGGTATTGCGGGATCATAGACAAGATGGTATATGAGTAAATGACAAGCTAATAGAACGCAGGAAGAGAAGAATCCGACGGTATCCCAACCATCAAGTGCCCTTGACAAGGAATAAATATGTAAATGCATGGCTAATGTTGACGGCCTTAGGCCACACTGGCCACGTGGTATAGCCAGCCCCTCGCATACATCTCACACTTCTACTTGATAACTAGCTAGATCATCATCACCTTCCAGGCTCCTTGTGCCACCCTTTGTGCCACAACAGCTAATATAGAAGTTTAGTGAAGTCTGGCAGGAATGGGGAGCATAGGTAGCATGTATTCTGATCGGGTTTCAAATATTTACTCTGAACTCGTATCAACGTGCTTTATTGACGAACTCTAGCAGAACAGGGTAGTATATCCGCAATAATTTTGGCGGTAGATATACGTGGAACACAGGTCATAGCCTCACACTACCACCCTCCAACCGGTCCCAATCACGCTTCATAAATGGAACATACCCCGCGTCTGACGGTAGCCAGTATAGCTCACCCAACTCTTTGTCAGTTCCTGGCTCTGGACGCACGCCGGCAGTCCTCAATAGTGATTTCTGCTGCTTGTTTGTGCCCGTAGTCTGGGCTGACCCAAGATCTGTACCTCGCAGAACGCGGAGGAACAAAGGCACAGCGTAGCGAGGAAGGTTGGACAAGGCGTGCTGGGCGATAGAGCGCATCGTGTCATCATCTGCATCCTTGCCTACGTGGATGGCTGCGCAGCCGGCACGTCCGTCATGGTTAGGCAGCTCGACACCATAGACATTGGCCTCGCGAATGGCAGGATGCGTGCCTATAGCTTGGCTAACTTCGGTTGTCGAGACGTTCTCTGACTTCCACCGGAATGTGTCGCCGATGCGGTCGTGGAAGAACCACAGCCCGTCGGTGGTGAAACGCACGACGTCACCCGTTCGAAACCACGCATCTCCCTGACTGAAGACATCGCGTAGAATCTTCTCGGCGCTGGCCTCGGGGTTTTGATAGTAGCCTTGGAAGCGCTTGGATGTATCAGCTGCGGGTAGGGCGAACAAGAGCTCGCCAGGTTCGCCTCTGGAAACTCTGGAGCAAAACCCTGTCTCGGGGTCACGGCGTGGCTGATCGGCTTCCCAGTCGACATCAACAAGGGCGGCACTTCGCCGAAGCATGAGACGATGAATCCAGCCGCTGCGTCCGATGGCCCCCGACGTCAGCTGGTTCGAACACAGGTTCACCATGCCCATGGTGCCTTCAGTAGCAGCATACAGCTCCCCCACTATCGGGATTCCAAAGCGGTCCCTGAAGCGATCCCAGACATCTGGACGGAGGCCATTTCCATAGGCCAGGCGGACGCGATGCTTCTTGTCGAGAGACTCCCCCGTTTCGGGATCTGGTTGTACTGGCGCTGCCAAAAGATATCGCAACGTCTCGCCCACGTATTGTATGACGGTAGCGTCTGTAGCGCGCACCTCTTCCCAGAATGTGCGTGTTGAGAACTTGCGCCCCAGGCCCTGGGTGCCACCAATGTTGAGGACACACATAAAGGACATTATGGCTGCAGCAGAATGGTAAAGCGGCATAGACTACACGCAGTCACGGTTAGAGAGTATACAGATTAAAGTTTACACAAGGGAGTTTTTACCGTAAAGATGGTGTCGTCGGATTTGATTCCCAACATCTTTTGGCCCATGACGCTGCCAGCCATGCACTTAGACCACGACACGATTGCTGGCTTTGGAATACCCGTCGTGCCTGAGGTGTAGATGAGGAGGGCCATTTCAGAGGGTTGAGCCTGAGATCTATCCTTGTCGGGCGGCCTAGTCGGGGCCAGTGAGGCGATGTGATCCTCCAGAGCTCCATCCAAGGTGACGAAATTGACATCAGGCAACTGGCTCCGGATATCTTCATCGACCACGTCTGTAACAGCAGGGTCAACAATAACTAAACGTGCCGTGGCGGCGCGGACACAATGAGCGAGGGCATCTCCAGTGAGGTTGTAGTTGATGAAGGCAGGCTTGGCACCGACAGCCCAAAGTGCGAACCAGAGGTAGATGAAGGTGTCCGAATTGTGGAAGTCTATGGCGACGATTTCCCCGGGACTGACAGAGTGCTTGTTGCGAAGCCAGGATGCATAGCGCAGGACGCGATTGTACACGTCAGAATACGTGTGACGTTTGCCCTCGAAAATGACGAGCGGCTTGTTTGTGTGGGATGGCGATTGAGCAAGGTCTTCAAGGGTGTAGAATTGGTTGAGGCGGTCGACATGCTGGCGGTAGGCGACGCGGGCAAAGCTAGTTATGATAGTGTTAAGAATGCGCACATCGTTGAAGATGGACCCCTTGGCATTGATATATGCGAGAGAGGCCGCGGCTGCAGGGACAGCCAAGGCAAGAGGGACTTAATATGTTTGTTGCATGTCGTTAGTATCAATATGTCTCGTCTCTGTATTGCTTGTAACGAGGCAGGACGCACCTGGCATACTGCAATGTAGTGGCGGCCTTTGCAGTGGCCCGATGATGTTGACAAAGGCTAAAATGGAAGTGCGGTGAGAATGAATTATTCGTACTATGGAAGGACTTTGGACTCGTAATGCTTATCGTCTGTCGGTAGAGTAGAAAGCGGAGCTGGTGGAGAACGAAGAGGGATCTGTGGGAAATGAGAGTTGGGAACGAAAAAGATCTAAGACAAGGCAGGCAACAAAGTGTGGAGAGAGTCGTGGTCACGCATAGGGATCGCAATGCCCGATATCCGGCTGGAGCTTCCAAATACCGACCCCTCCCCTATCTCTGTGATGTTATAACTGGAGGACTGCGATGCAAGATGCCTCGGTATTTTCAAAGACGGGGTACTTGCATACATTCAGAAGTAGAGGTGCTTTTCTAGCGTAAGGTCTGGTAGCCTCTAACAAACAGCTTCTAAGTCCCTCTGCCGCTAATATATTATTTAGTCCACGATCTGTTAGTCATGGATTCACGAAACGTCGATCGACTAACACTCTACGTTAACAGCATCGGCACTCTATGGCCTTTAGCCTATTATAGGGAGGCAAACAGGACATGTCACATAAAGCTGGCAAGACAGAATACGCGTAAGTAAGATAGAGAAGTAACATTAATAAAAAGACGTAGCATTCTGGTAATGTTCTAAACCTTATTGGTTGAAATTTATCTGCTACTCAACTTCTTAACGAGACCTTGCCATGTTGAATGGAATCAACAGCTTTCATATCACGACATACAATGCGAGTACATGCCCGTATAGCAGACATTGTCCCGGCAAACCTTGCTTCCCCATCAGTAGTAGTTGTAACCCTCGTGTCCACAGACTCATCGCACACAGCATAATTCGCCGCAGCACTCTTGGCCTTGACATCTACAACGTTATTCAGTTCTCTTGGGATGTGCTAGAAAATAATGCATAGACTAGCTTCTCTGAAATTCTCCGTCTCGCCCAGGAACATCTCCTATAGGTCCCTGTTTTTGAAGTTTCGACCACTGCTCGTCTTCCATCCATTCTGGGCCCAGGCTCTGCACCAGTGGGTGGCGCCATTAACAGCATATTTCGAGTTAGTTGCGAAGACCAACGTCTGAAAACCCTCACCTGGCCAAAAGCGGAATCGCAGGGCCATGAGTACGGCGGGAAGCTCTGCTCGGTTGATCGTTTGGATTCTCTCAGAATTATGAAGATCGACAAAGGCTCTCATTTTTGAAAGCGTTGAAGAGACATTATCAGTGGCTCGCCTGACATATTGTGGACTGACCGGTATATTAAGGTAAGCACCGTCAGCGAATGCGAGACATTGTTCACTATTCCGTTGATGAATCATCCTATACAGTAAATACAATGCCGTATCCCATTAGGTCAATATGTGTTTAAAAAATCACCGTGACTGAAATCTAGAGCCCGTGAAGTGTTTGGGATGCTGAGTAATTGATGTAGATGGTGCAGAGGAACATACCAGAGAAGACTAAGCCAGTGCCGTGACATCGCTGACGACCAAAAGATGCAGGGGGAGAGGTACGCCCGAAGATGGGGGTCGAGAATCTCATCCTCGTCCTCACCATCGTCCATAAAGGCGAAGTCAAAGCAACATTACGACAAATCGTCAGGTCATGCGGACAACAGACAAGACAGCCATCCGGAAGTTCACAAGGCCCTTTGTCATTGTCACTTCTGCTTGCTATGAGTAGATACAGACCCTAAGCTAAATACCATACAATAGGCATTTCTGGTTTGTTTTAGACACTCGTGTACGACGCGAAATTTTTTCCCCACTGAAGCTGGATATGACGCGTATATAGAAAGGCATGTTTAATCACTTGCCTGGCGTAGATGGACCTTCACTGATCTAGATGTGTGTCTAGAAGCTATTGAAAGCTGAGGCCATTGCGAACAGATAATAACATTTTAAACATTTAACTCCGTTAGCAGTGCGGATTATTAACATGCCACTAGGACGTCTATGGTATTCCTATATATATGACAGGGACTGAGTTATTCATTAAAATCAACACTCATTATTAACGCTGTAAGCTAGGTCAGACTCGCAAAGTGTCAGGACCTTAGGGTTTAGGGTTTAAGGGAATCGTACAGAAGTGTGCCGAAGGGCCAGAAGGGGTAGCTACATAAATAATCACCTACCCCGGTTCCATCGAGATAGGAGACAGCGATCAATATTACATACGATATTCATACACCTGCCACTAGTGCCTTCACTACTATAACGCTTCTACCTCGCCACTATTTGCAAATCTTGTCACGTAATATGTCTCTACCCCCAAGCAGACTCGCTGTCTGGCAATTTTTACAACATGTGCAACACCACGTATCACGGATATGTAAAACATTTGATGGATGAGTCTCATTCTCTATTGCTGTTATTCAAATCAGTGCAGTAATATAAATACCGTGTAGTCTACGTGCAATGTAATATTCGCCTTCCCGAAATATTCTCCTTTCGATTTTTGCAGCCCAAGACAATAAGTGACATAACATACATCTAGTATGTATAGTATGTATGTAGAGCACTAGACCATCTACCACCATTCTACCCTCCCCCTCCCCCCAACTACCCTTCAAGATAATTACACCCCTCATTCGACATCCATCCGGTGGAGGACACCTTCGAGAAAACCAAGATTAACCACATAAGCTTTACTTCTCGTCTGAAATAGCCTCCCTGACCAGGCCGCTCTCGTGCTCCTTTTCGACAATCACAGCTGTCTTCAGATCGATCTCAACCTTCTCGCCAAACTTGCCATTGATTTCTTCAAGAGGAAGACCCATAGTCTAAAATAGGGTTAGTTGTATTGCTTCGGCGGGTGATAGTTGGAATTCGTACCTCGGGGAAAGTGAACCAAATGGCAATGGCGCTAACAGTGGTTACAGCAACAAAGATCATGTAGAATTTCCATCCAATGTTGGCCAATCCGACACTGACAGGAGAACTGTATGCAATCGAGTTACCAAAAAAGGATGCGTATGCCAGAGTCGAGCCTTCGCTTCGAAGATCTAACAGAAATGTCAGAAGCGGAATCATAATCCGACCGGTTGTTAACTTACGAGTAGGCCAAATCTCCGATCCGTAGACGTAAGAAGTAGACTCGATGGTGGCCGCGAAGAAGGCACCGAAGATGAAGTAAGTGGCCACCGTGGCGTTGAGTCCGTGAGTGTTATCACTTCCAAGGTAAAACTTGACCAAGGCACCCATGACGCTGATTATGGCAGCACAACCTATACCTCCGATAGCTATACGTGGCGTATCACTTGTTAGCATGTAATTCCATCAAGGATGATGGTTCAAGTGACTCACCAAGAAGCTTTACACGGCCAACACGGTCGAGAAGAAAGACATTGAAGGCGCAAGCAATGACAAGACACGCTGTCCAAACAACTCCGAGAGCGAGCTGCAGGGTAACACCAAACCCGAGGCCACCCATGATGGTGGGAATGAGGTTGGCGATAGCCGTGATGCCAGTGCCCTGACCCATAACCCAGAGGATGATAGAGCAGTATGCACGCTTCAACGTATGCTTGTTAGAGAAAATATAAATAAACCCACTGGGAAGGGACTTCTCTGTCTCCACCTGGGCCTTGATCTGAGCCACCTCTGCATGCGCGAGAACAGCATCGGGGTCAGTTTTAGTCCTGTGAAGGCGAACGAGGACCTCCCGGGCTTCATCCTCGCGGCCCTTCTCCATAAGCCACCGGGGAGACTCAGGGAGAGTAGTTAGCGATGCCAGGTGGAGAATAGCAACCCCGGTGAGAACAACGAAGATTAGGCGCCATTGGTAAGCCCCCTCGACAAAGCTGAAGGCCAGGTTGAGGCTCGCGCACATGATGTAGGCCGTGATGATACCTATTCCCTGCATACCGACAAGCCACCCTCGAGCATGAGGAGGAGCCACCTCGCACATGTAGACTGGGGAGTTGGCAAGGACCATTCCAGCTCCAATTCCACAGACGACGCGAGCTGCCAGTAGCATGGCAATGTGAACAGATCCTGCTTGTATAGCTCCGGCAATGATTACGATGACTGCAGCAACCGCATTGCAGATTCGACGACCAAAACGCTTCGATATAGGAACTTGGCCAATGGAGCCAACCATGCAACCTGCGAGGAAACTGTCTCTTCGTTAGTATAGGAATAGTATGGTAACGGACTTCAGCATGCACCTACCCCCCAAGAAGACCATCAGTACGTGCATTGGCATCAGCCGTTGTGAGGAACTTGGCAATAAAGGAGGGCTGGGCCAAAGTTCCAGCAATGGCGTTGGCGCTAAACCCATAAAGAAAGCCACCCAGAGCAGCAGTAAAGATCACCTACATTCCTGTTAGCTGTTTCTAGATGGAAGAGAGTGTCGATATACTGACCTGACAAGTAAGCCAGCTGACTGAATGCGTGACCTTCATATCTTCACTGTCAGATACGGACGTAGACGCCTTGCCATTGTGTATATTAGGCTCAGACACAATAACCTCCTGCGGCCGAGGTTTCGACGGCTGGCTTGTACCAGATTCCGAAGACATTCCGAAGACAGATGTAGATTTGCGCGGTTTGAGGAATTGAATGAGTTGGCAGGGCATGCGACGCTTCAGAAAAAGGGTGAGTCTGGTGTCAAGGCACACGGCATATAGGCTTTGATTCTCCAGTGGAGGAAGAGACCAACTAAGGAGAAACAAAAGGTTGTAACAACCTCTTATAACAGACACCACACATCACATCGTATCACTGTCACAGGGAGCTGCAGGTATATTTAGATAATACGCACATTGGCGGGTTCAAAATTGCCAATTTCCACCGAATCATTGTAAATTTCTCCACATGGATTTAGATATCGAGAACATGGAACAGGGAACTGGTATTTGGCTATGCGGCGATAGGAGCCAAGAACCGCGGCATACTAACTGCAAGAGTAGGGAACACATGAGAACGCCAAGCCCCTTGTATGAGCGGTTTATCTCCAATACTACGGCAGGTCAAGCCATCTATGCCGGTTAATGCGATACAAGGGATGAGGAGACAACAGTCGGGTATGCAGCCAACATGCCTTCTTACAGATCAAGACGTTGTATATGACAAGTAATAGCGCGGCTTGTAATACCACCTAGTATAATCGAAAAGAGTAGGAACCCGTTACTAGTGCCAACCAACCGAAGCATGGGGATACCCTGCTACATGTATTTCCTTGCTTTTTCCGCGCTCGGGTCCTTTCTATTCTGTACCTGGCCTACCCATGTAATGGCTACGAGGTGGCAAGTACTCCGTGCGGAGAGCACATGGATGTGTGGAGAAAGAAAAAGAGGTTCCACTCCTGCACAAGGGCTGTTGACTTCGTTCAAACGGTTTTCCTTGACATGGGTTTGATACATTATATGTCACGGACTTATGTAGAAGTCCGGAGGCATGTTATCACCGTGTTGGTCTCGCTTACAAGAGTTGCGGCATGTCCACCGCCTTTGTTGAATGACTGTACGAGGTACATATTGCTCTTTCCGCCTTGCACCCCCATACATTCCAAGATATTCTTTACAACATTGACACCATTTTTCTCTTGTTTCCGTTTTGAATACAGTTATTGTCCACCAACTCTCGCAATTATGGCCCCGCAAGTCTCCAAGAGTGAAGTCTTTCCAGTCCTCAAGGGCAAAGTCGCCATCATCACCGGCGGTGCTCAAGGAATGGGTAAAGCTACGGTTGAAGTTTTCCTCCAGGCAGGCGCAAAGGTGGTTCTTTGCGACATCCAGGAAGACAAGGGAACGTCTGTTGTTGAGGAACTTTCTTCCTTGGGAGAAATTTCTTTCCTGAAGACGGACATCTCGTCTTCCGAGCAGGTTGCTGCCCTTGTCAAATTTGCGGTCGACAAGTATGGCCGCCTGGACTGTGCGGTTAACAATGCCGCCCTGAGTCCAGATAAAACGCCTTTGATAGACTTTGACGAAGACTACTGGACTAGGATTGTCAACGTCAACCTGACAGGAACTGCGCTGTGCGTCAAGCATCAGATGAAGCAATTCATTGCCCAGGGTGGAGGTGGCAGCATTGTCAACATTGCCAGTATCAACGCTTTCTCGCCCCAGCCCAACATGCCAGCTTACACGTCAGCCAAGCATGCTCTTGTGGGATTGACGAAGCACGCGAGCATGGAGGGCGGGCCACATAATATCCGTGTCAATGCCGTCGCTCCCGGTGCCATCTTTGTAAGTCCATACCATATCGGCTCGGAATGTCTTGAAGATTGAATATGCTGACGGAAGGAATTCTATTAGAGCGACATGTCAGAAGCCGCCTTGAAGATTATGGGCATAACTCATGACGAATTTGCTCACCATGTCAGTTTCCTGAACCGATTTGGTATCCCGCACGAGGTCGCCCAGGGGTCACTTTGGCTATGTTCCCCGGCATCTTCATACGTTACGGGAATAACCATGCCTGTTGACGGTGGGTTCACTGCCAAATAATGGGACACAATGTGGCGGGGAAGCAGGGGAGCGCAGCCGGTGCCACCAAGACGGATTCTCCTTTTTTTTCATCTTTTCTTTTTCTTTTTGCGTCACATCAGAAACACGGTAACAACGGGCTGGGCCAACAAGTATAGCTAGTGTTACTATAGGCAACATCAATTATAATGACGCGGGGTTGAGAAAAGATGTCCCCCGGGGCCCACTCCCAGAATTGCCGAGACAGGGGTAGATTATGCGCGATCTTGGACCTTGGCAGAGTCGGTTGGACGTACCCATGTAGCAATTCTGACGACCGTGGGATGTTTTCTCCCCTTTTTTTCTTCTCTCTTTCTGTTCGTCCAGTGTCTCTCCTATTATCCCCGGTGCCATTCCCCTCAATGCAAGATCTAGGATCTGTTATTGTTCTCATTGTACTGTGTTCTTCTTTTTTCTTTCCACTTATTTTATTTGTGCAAAGAACAAGTCGCAGATCAAATGAGAAAGCAGGTCATACGTAGTTCGTATGACGAACTCATGGATATTTTATGTGGGGCCAAATATCTCAGTTTATTGCCGTTGTTAAATCCATAAATCTGCACGAATATGGCAGTAGAACCGGTCGGTACTTCAGACTATGTAGGTTCAGAAATTAAATCTAGCAGGGTCTAACCCGGCTGCCGGGGTGGATTCCACCATTGACACCATGCATTGACCAATGAGCATACGATGCATACATTGAGAGTTCCTTTGTTTTTTTGTTTGTTTCTTTTTTTTAGGAGGAAGTAAGAAGGCGGAAGAAAAACCAAATGACTAAATACAAAGGCCAGTACATGAAAGAAGAGTGCCGAAACCAAAACCGGAAGAGGGTGGTTGGGCGATTCTCCATCTGTTTGGCTGTGTGGAGTAGAGAAGCTCATCATGATTGTACATGCTCGCATGAGGGGAAAAAGAGCCATTCAATAACTGAATGTAAGTCCCCCGTTGGCGCTTACCAAACTACCCGTCATCCAACCCGACTCAGGGCTGCAAATCATGGAAACAAGACCCGCAATCTCCTCGGGATAGGCTGCTCGACCTCCAAATTTTTTCCCAAGCTCCTGCACCTCTGGACCATCCGAATCGCGGACTGCAACAAGGGGGGTGAGGGAGTTCCAAAGGCCCAGCTGTTCCTTGACCTCATCGGGAGCGGACATGTACATGTCGGTCATGACTGGCCCAGGGTTGATGGTGTTGACAGTGCAGTTCTCACTCAGTTCACGGCACCAGACCCTGGCCATAGTTTCCAGGGCGCCCTTTGTTCCGGCGTAGAGAGTGGTATTGGGTAAGCCCACCTTTGAATTAATACTTGAAACCATGACAATACGGCCAGACCTATCAGTCGGCAGATACGGCTTGCAGGCCCCTGTGAGGAGAGCAGGACCGAGAACGTTAACTCGGTAAATATGGTCAAACTCGTCGGGTTTGACGGACTCGACCGGTCCGAGGTACAGGACGGCGGCGTTGTGTACAATGATGCTGATGACAAGATGATCACTGCTGAAATTGTCTTTGCAAACGGAGATAATGCTTTCACACCCGGAAAGGGTAGATATATCCGCTTTGCACGGGATAGCAGTCACCCGATGCTCATTATGGAGCTCTTTGCACAGAGTCGCTGCGGCACAATTCGACGAGTCCGTGGCATAGTTGACAAGAACATTGGCCCCCTGAGAAGCGAGCTTGCGAGCAATGTAGGACCCGATTCCTACAGTTTCAAGGTTAGGTACCCTCTTAATATTTTAGATCTTTCCTTCTTCCTCGTTGAGAATGGCGAAGACAGTAACATGGAAGTAACATAAAGGAAACATAGAGGAAAGTGACAAAGAGTGGAGAGGGGAGCATGTTTTTCGTACCGCGTGCGGATCCTGTGACAATTGCAAGTTTGCCTTCGTGAATTCTGGCGACTTGACGCATGGTGCAGTGTACTTCCGAGGTGTGGAGGAGAGAATCCTAAGATGTTGTTGACTATCGGAATGAAGTGTTTCCGCGTTTATGAGTAGGAGGAGGCGTAATATAACCTGTATTATTTTGTTGAACGTCCAGATTATATATGTTTATCAGTCGTACTGTCCGGAGAAATCCGTAGGGACCTCCTAGATATTGCTCTGGTCTGACCGTCGAGGACGGCGAAAACGTCGGTGAAGATATACGACGTACCTGGAAAAAAAACTGATTGTTTATAAAAGTTACTTGGGACGATGTACGTCGTAATCAGCGTACATGCACGAGACAAGGATTGTGATAGTAATAGACCTACGGAGTGATTGAGTGGCAGTTATATCTACCCCTCATATAACCTGTTTTATGGCTCGATACTTGCAACAGTGACATATCTCCATCACTTCGAAGGGAACTTTGCCAAGGTCTTCAATTGTGAGTACATTGTAACTATACGTTGGGCATTTGCCTCTCATATAGTTGGACGTAATCTTAGTACTGCTTGTAGACATGCCACCTTTAGCCTCGTTACAAAACCCAGTGTAGAGTTGCTTTATGCACCGTTGTCCCCGGAGCGGGAATAGAGACAACAACTCAATGCAACTCATGCAGGGTGGCTAAGCGGAACCAACAGAACCGTTATGGGAAGCGTATCCATGCATGGCCAGGTGTTATCTAAAACGGTAGTTTTAGTGATGTAGTACAAGTCCTCTGTAGAAATATTTCCAGCTAATTTTGAGAAGGGTTACACCTGGCCATACAATAGCATGCAAATGCCGCATATAAATACGTGATGAAGCCTTTGCTATCCTAAATTGTCTCTATATGTATGTATCACTTCGCTCTAGTGTCTATGAGTTTAGTATCTGGTCAGTTCAATGCTACCTGGAGCATGTTAGCTCGAGCAGGGGGGGATTCACTCCAAGATATACGAAATGATTCATACAGTAGGAAGTAAAGCGGTTACAGATGCTTAGTACCTTGTGTACTGTCACTGAAATGCTAGTCACTGCCGAGGATCCATTGTCCCATATGTCTATCCGCAATGGTGCTACGTTCCAAGACACGACGAACTTTTCTTTTGTCCCTTGCTCCACATGCCCGGGATAATATGTCGTATTACACCAGTACGTGGACAACGGGCGGCTTCTACTTTGAAACTCAGAGCAAATTTCCCCTGTACAGATATAGATTATGTGGTAGTGAGCATTATCCTAAAAACACAGATGGTAATAGTAGGAGGGCTCACAGCTGAAGGCCATATCTGGGAGGCCTAATAAGATCCCCGGCCCATGCTTCCCATTGTTAGATACTGGATAAACTCTGTGTCATCTACCTTCGACGTTATATCGATCGCGTTGTCCCAATATTGGACGAATTCTCCCTTGGACTGTATTGGGCAGCTCAAACTTAGCCATACGCAGCCTCCTTTACACATTCCAACTTTGACCTGCTGGAATTTATCAAACTTTCCTACTCTGTGGTACTAATCCTCAGTACTACATCGTTGAACATGGCATACAAGGCGGCGGGAGTCGGGGGCAAGGGTCCCATGATGATTGGTGTCCTTTGGTTCGAGATTCTTTTGTCCTTCGCCGTTATTTCATTGAGACTATGGACTCGGAAGTATGTCAAAGGAAAAATTGGATGGGACGACATTTGTCTCGTTGCGACATTTGTAAGTGGTTTCCATTCCCGTCCACTTTTGAAAGGGGAAAATTGCTAAACTACACTTAGGTATTGATGGTCGTATTCGCTGCAATAACAACAGTTGCCTGTTTCCACGGAATGGGAAGGCATTTCAACCAACTGAAGACGGACCAGTTTGCAAGGGCCATGATGCTGGTGATGGTAGGCCAATCTACAGTTTCAATGGCTATTGGAATGGCCAAAGTGGTCGTTGCTACTTTCTTGTTACGAATTGTCACTGCCGCTTGGTACGTCTGGATTATGTCTTGTTGATATTAATTCGAGAATCATTGTTAACCCCGAAGATAGGCAACGCATATTCCTATGGTTCTGTATCGGCACCATGATGTTCATCAGTGTTTTCCTTTCAATCTCGCTCTTTGCCCAGTGCACACCAGTTGAATCTATCTGGAACCCATTATTGGCCGACGAGAAAGTTTGCAGCCTAGATCTCACTACCGTTGCTTTCGTGGATTGCGGTGAGTTTATGAAGCATATCTGAACGTAGTGACTAGCTAACTTCCATTTAGCTTATGCGGCAGTGATGGACTTTACTCTGGCCATATTCCCTTGGATTGCCCTTCATAATCTGAATATTAAACGAAAGGAAAAGATCGCTATTTGTGTTTCTCTGAGCCTTGGAATCTTGTATGTAAACTCCGTCACCCATTCGGTTACTTTCACCTAACAAACCTAGTGCTGGTATTTGTGGCGTTATCAGAACTTCCGGCCTGAAAGTGTTGAGCAATACTGGGGACTACCTTTGTAAGTTTCTCTGTAGCCTCGAGGTATTGTCAATTTATCTAACGCCCCGTTTTAGTCGTCATTGCCGATTCGATCATTTGGACGTCCAGCGAGGTTACGACTACTATTGTCTGCGTATGCATTCCTTCCCTTCGACCTCTTTACGGAAAGATTACCGGCCAACTCTCCAGTTCTGGTGGCGAGCAGACAACTCCGAGCTACGATGCGGGAAATTCCTACAAACTCAGCTCATACACAGGCAAGAATGGTACAAAGACGAACATCGAGGCAGCACAGGCTCGCGCTACCACTCTCAATGACAGCGACGAATCCATACTCCTAAGACGCAACGGGGACATTGTGATGACGCAGGAGGTCTCCGTAACATACACGGACCCGAATGATGGTAAAGGCTCCGTTAACTGAACCAAATAGGTAGATAGGATGCTCTGGGTGTTGTACTATTTGCAACAAGTGTTTCTGAGAAAGTTTGTTTTCCGGCTACAAATATTTGGGAGAAGGATGGGAGGGAATTGCTTAATATATTAGCTCACTACTTACGCGGCATTTTATTGAATGAATTGCTTGATACTATCCGGATCAATTCCGTAATAAGCAATAATTGAAGATGAATTATTATCTAGTAAAATTGCTATGGATGTTTCGCGGTAAAGTAGACGTGCTTATTGCCTCTATATATTCACCCTGCCGAGCCCTGAATCCGATTTAGACTTCTTCGCCTTTTTCTTTTTCTTTTTCATGCTGTAAACCCATCTCGTGATCCGTTCCTTCACGCGAATATGAACCCAGTTCCGTCTATGTTCGGAAGTTGGCGAGCCACTCTCTCTCTAACCAGACTACCGTCAGATTGAGCTGGGGAATATTGTTAGTAAAACGCTTGTCTGAGGCTCTGGATCGGAAGGAAGCTTAGGACCGCAACATGCGTTTTCTGCACTTGTTATCTGTTCTCGTTTCTATTACTAGCTTTCGATGCACCACCGCACTCGTGGCTCGAATGCCCACTACAGTTCCACTTGAGGGTGTAGCCTGCAATGTTACTGAAAATGTACGCACGCTTCATAGTCAAAACAGACCTGTCATTCCCGTTTGCCCATTGGCATGTTTCAACTACACAGGGCCGGAAAATTGGAGGCCACCACGTTGATAATCCATCCATTTCGAGCTATCTGGCCTAGTACTGTCTTAATAGTCGATCGATCTTTCTCTATATTCACCCAATGCACTAATTTGCCGTCCTATGGTGCGTGGTCATCGGCCTCCCTAGACACTGTCGTTATATAGATCATTAGGACGTCATCCCCGCTGCATATTAATAGCATTCTAGAAGAGCTAGGCCGGGTAGGAGTAAGATATGTATACACGATTCCTGCCGCAACTAATATGTCCTAAATTCCTCGGGGACCCTACTTCATCCAAATCGGGGCTTTACACCAGTCCTATTGGCTATATCCCGACACAGCGGGTGCTTTCATTGTATTTATCATTCCGGATGATACTCCGGAATGGCACGCGCCATGCCTTCTACAAATGTATGCCTAGTTGTATCGTTATGGAGTACTATATACATGCAATTATATGTATATTATCTGAACGTCGTCCCTGTAGATCTTAGTGCTTAGGAACAGGGCCGTAGCTGCTCTTAACCCTCTTTAAAGTTGGCGTGCGAGATAGTGAAGAGATTTCCTGCGAGGGGTGAAGTATGGGCGTGGACAATAGCGATGGTGGGTCATTGTGGACGAGGGAAATTGACAACGTGTCGCTCGGTGTGATGCCGTCATCGTCAAGCAGTGTCTTTCGGTGCGCCGCAGAGGATAGGCTTCCACCAGATAGTCGTCGCCATGGAGGTACAAAAGAATCGTTCTTTTTCTGATTTTTGACTTGGAAAAAATCAGACGACGCGCGCCCATGAAGATGAACGTTGCTAACGCTAGAGTGGTGATTATTGGGCATGTAGTTGTGGTTGGTGTTGCCATTGTCGGAAGTTCCCTCTTCAAAAACGACCCTCGCCCGTAGGCAGTGGACTGCCCTGTCTAGAGCAAGCTCAATCGCGCAGCGATCTCGGATTCGGCTCAACTTGGGCCACGTTGCCCTCTCTCCCAGGAGAGTTGAGCGAGTTATAAACTCAACAGTGGGATTTGTGAGGATTCCAGGAAGGTCTTGCATACTCATTTCTGGCAGAATGGTAATATCCCCAGAGTACTTCTGGCTCAAGACGCTGCGGATTTTGTCAACCATATTTGGGAAAATGCCCACCTCGGCAAGAAATTGCAGGCGGTGCAATGCCTCATCCCTTGCCAGGCTCGTTAGGGTGTACGCCAAATCCATGTTGTCGTTATGCTGCCGCTTCTCTGCAACCGGAGTCCGATCCGGTACTATATAATCGTCGTTGGCGAGAAATGGAATTACGTGCGGGTTCACCTGAGAGACGATGAAGTGATTGACATTGAACATTTCGGCAAGACGCGTCATGGGCAAGTCATTATCCACCGATCCGTCGATCCAACGTTGAGGCGTTGGGTTCCACGGCAGATGCTCGCCAGTGAGGGGGTCCTTGACAAGAAGCGGAGGCGCATTGAAGATGATAGGCACCGAGCATGATGCAGCTACGGCAGACCAGATCATTACATTGGGGGCCGTCACATAGTTGAGGAGCCGCGGAAGTTCGTATATGGAGGCCGATGAGACGCAAATGTTGAGGATGCGGCGTGTGCGGTTATAGGCCTCCTGGAAGGTAAGGTCGCCCGTGAGCTCCCGCATGACGCCTGATAAGTGTTGTATATCGGACCAACTGCCCTCTGTGAGAAGACGACGGATGTGGCCCAGAATCCCGTCACGATTGTCTTCTTCCTCAAAGACCGCCAGGTTTCCGTGCGGAAAAGCCTTTAAAACGCCTGGAATTTCCTCGTCGACCCTGGTGCACACAACTGCGCATACTATACTGCCAGCACTGGCGCCTGATATGATGCGAGGGAAAAGTCGGGCCTCGAAAAGAGACTTGACAACTCCGATATGAGCCATGCCGAAGGTACCACCTCCCGAGAGAAGTAGGGCGCTGCGTCCGAAGCTCTGGCGGGCAAAGAGCATGCCTTCCAAAAGATCGCGCAGCTCCACTGACGTGTCTACACTGCTCTGCGTGACGACGGCATCAATAGTGGCGAGGGTCGATTCGACGTATCGTTCGATAAGCACCTTGGTGCCCATGTACGAGTGCCGATACAAGTCAACATTGTCCATGCCGGCGAGATCTCGCGACAGAGCTGTGCGTATGAGGTGCATCATGGAGGGCAGGTCGCAGCTATAACGGGCGTCGTCCAATTGCCGAAGACGTTCGGCCAAGAGCACGGCGTTGTAGCCCTCCACCATAGCTGACTCGTCTTCTTTCCATTTGTCGTTTCCCTGGAGGCGATCTAGTTCTGCCGCAGCAGCCTCCCATTGTGCATAAGACTCCGCGGTCTTCATGCGCAGACAAAGAATCTGATTGCGTTGTTCGCGCTCGTCCCTCTCCTTTCGTTGTTGCCAAGTTAACCCATCTCTCCAACCGAACCACAGACTGCCAACACCCTTGAATGTTCTGGACAAGGCGCCATCTTTTGCTGATGCCTTGCACAGGTGTGGAGTTGACTTGGAGCCTTTGAGGCCTAGTGGCCTAACCTGACTTCGTCCGGTAGATGATGGAAGATAGCCGTCAAGATGGGCTGGGAGCGCTGAAATGAGCAGGTCTGCCATGGTGGTGGTGGTAATTTCGCGCTACCATCCGTGTATATCAAGTGTCCGGGCGAAGCGAAGGCCACGTACAATACTGTGTCCAAAAGTCGGTAACTCTCTATATCGGCGCCGAGTATATTTTCTGGGCCGCTTCTGAGGGGTCGTTCGGTTAGTAGATGTTGGGTGCAAACACGTCCGGCTACACAATCGTTTCTGAACGCTTGATGGACGAGCCGGGAAGGAATTTGCCAGGGCGCGTTGTTCTAGTTCGGTGCTGCGCTCTTCAAATGAGACGAAATTCGTGTCATGGTAGAAATGAAAAAGGAGTCACGGTAGGTAGTGGGACGACGTAATGTTTAGGATTCCCCGCGACGTGGTTGGGGCGGCCTGGATCATCTGTGGAGATCGATGCTCCTAGGGAGCGGCCCCATGATCCACTCGAAAGGACCGATGATCCCATGGCCATCTGGGGAAAGCTGTATGGTACGAGTAATGTAGCTCCTAAAGCATGTGCTTTGCCTCCGCAAGCCCATGGCCAGCTGACGAGAACTTGTGCCACACTTTGGCGGTCCGGGAGGGATGCAATAATCAAGGTTTGTCATGGAGAAAGATGAGACAGTCATTCGCACATGATGCTGTTCCCATGATGGCAATGGGGGTGTTAGCTTTGCATCTTGCATCAGGTGGGGGAGCGTGGCTTCCAACGCTGCTTCCAACGCTGACTAAGTTATTTGTATTGCAGTACGATAATGCGATGCCGTATGGATTAATTTAAAGTTGGTTCGTGCATGGCAATCAGCTCTCGGTGTAATGCTCTGTGCATGCTATTCCGTGGTTTCTTTCCATGTGAAGATGTCCATAATCACGTTCAGTTGAAATGGATAAATAACATGGAGTGACCACGTGTATTACGATCACCGTTTTGGTGGCAAATACTAATAAGCGTGTTTGGATTTTCATATCAAAGAAGGCAAAATATTTTGTTCCTGTCCATATAATATCGATCTTCCTATTTGACTGTCAAGCCTACGCTATGCGCATACCTACTTATACACGCAAATATCATCGCGCCTTCTTAGCCGAGAGATGTGTGAGGAAAAAGACTGTCCTTAATACCCCGCGTTGGTGTGGCGGAGGGTAGGCCTCCAGATTATTCTGGGATTCTTTTAATTGGGGGACTCTCTACCCTCCGATTTCCAGACAGACCTCCGGATCCAATTCCTATATTATCTGGGCCGATATGCCTGTAGTTTCCCGGAATGGCTACAACGTTGCTTACCCCTCATCAGCATCCTGGATAGATAGATTTCGAGTTTCTTACATCGCACAGGTCGACCACGAAGGCTCGTCTCGGTGGCGCTCTGTGCGTTTCGGCCTCTGGGATAGCATTGTGCCGAAGGGGTCGACTATTTTATCTCCTCCCCTTCGCACTTATGTCATACTGTGAGAAGTATGATCGTCATTGATACACAGTTTCTTCCGAAGTCCCACTACAATTATGACTACAGTTATGACAACATCAGTCGAACCCAAGCGTAAGCGCTACGCACTCGTCGGCACGGGAAGTCGCGCCATCTTCTTTTACTCAGCCCTGGCCACTAAGTATAGTAAGACCAATGAACTAGTAGCCTTTTGCGACACAAACCAGACGCGTCTCGACTATGCAAACAGCAGAATCAAGAATCTCTGCCACCCGGCCATCCCAACATACCTTGCGAAGGATTTTGACAAGATGATATACGAGACGCAGCCCGACGAGGTCATTGTCACAACTGTGGATCGAACGCACGATAGGTACATTGTGCGAGCCCTGGAGCTGGGATGTAGTGTGCTGAGTGAGAAACCCATGACAACCGACACTCCCCGCTGCCAGCAGATCCTCTCTGCCGTCGACCGCACGGGAGGTAAGATACGTGTGAGCTTCAACTATCGCTACGCACCGCACAACACCAAGATTTACGAGGTAATCCAGTCGGGCGCTATTGGCCGCATCACCAGCCTCCACTTTGAATGGATGCTCAACACATCCCACGGCGCAGACTATTTCCGCCGCTGGCACCGTGATAAACGCAACAGTGGTGGCCTCCAAGTCCACAAGTCCACCCATCACTTTGACCTGGTCAACTACTGGCTGCAGACGAGGCCCGAAACGGTATACGCTCGGGGAGGACTGCATTTCTATGGCAGGGAGAATGCTGAAAAGCGCGGCAAGACAAGCTTCTACCCTCGAGCCCATGGCTACCCGCAATCCCGCGACGACCCATTTGCCCTTCAGCTGTCCGACAACCCGCAACTTAAAGCAATGTACCTTGATGCCGAGCATGAAGATGGATATCAGCGCGACAAGAGCGTGTTCAGCGACGGTATTAGCATCGAAGACACATTGAATGTCCTCGTTACTTATCGCAATGGCGTATCTATGACCTACTCACTTACGGCCTATGCTCCATGGGAGGGATTCCGCGTAAGCATCAACGGTACAGAAGGTCGTCTCGAAGCGGAAATTGTCGAGAACAGCTACGTCAGTGCTGGTGGATCCCAGGCTGAGGAAGGTAGTCTCGAGAGTCGGACGGTGACCCTTCGTCGATTGTTCGAGAAGCCAGTCGACCTCGAGATCAATGATTCCACCGGTGCCCACGGTGGAGGAGACGAGCTTCTTCTCGAGGACCTATTTGGGGAGCAAAAAGGCGGAGGTGACTCCTCTCGTAGGGCTGCTACCCATATCGACGGCGCTGTCTCGATCCTCACGGGGATTGCCGCCAACCGTTCCATTGCTACTGGGGAAGTCGTTGATATCGATGATATTCTTCCCATACCATGATTTACTTCATAAAGCATATGGTAGTCTATTTGAACAACAACTTTTGTTTCTCGAATATGATAGCCCCTGTTGTTTACGCTTGTTCTACCCCTTGAATCCTGACGTCATGATGTGTTCCAGCTGCTGGTGACGTCCATATGCATCCCAAATGATAGAAGCCTCATTCAACTTGCCATTCAAGCCATCAGCAAAGTTCTGGAACACCCTGCCTGCATTACAGGGGAAAACAGGTAAACTCGTTTGGCAATGACTCAAATGACTATTTCCAATCTGTTGGACCTCGTCAGTTGGAAAATCACGTACCTCAATTGCTAAGTGGTCTATGTAGATAATGTTGGTGATTTATAGGTGCTACGCAAATATGCCCATTCAACCGTCGGGTAGGAGAGAATGTCGATACATTTGACTTTGCCCATTTATGTTACCAGCCACTACGAGTAAATTGAGACTCCAATACAGGCCCCATATAGCCACACACAGCGCGCGTCTTGGAAAAATGCTGTCTTCGATGTTACGAGAAGAAGAATTGAAATGTCAACTCCTGGTTGGTAAAGCTACCTTGTGAGCTGTTGGAAGTACCCGTATGGTACTTATAGCTCGGGCGGACGAGCTACTTCCGCCTTACTACGCCATCGCCGACGAGCCAGTTATGCAGTTGCGGGGTCGCGTTAGCTTTGTTGACGTCAGCTGTTTTACGTCAAGGGAAGACACGTCGTCGTACAAGTAGAGCCCGCCTTCTGCGACGCAATCAAACTGCGGGGTTTCTTCTTCTTTTGCCTCCTTCATCAACATCTAACTCATCGCACAAAATGAAGCATTTATCCGTCCCGTTGTTTGTTGCCTACGGTGTCGCTGCCGCCGCGATCCTCCTTGAGCCGTCCGACGCCGAAAGATCCACGCTATGGGACACCGTCCTGCCTTTTATCCATGACATTGACAACGCCATTTCCCCCGCCAAGGCTCATATTGACTCTTTCTCTCGTTCTTTCGAAGATTTGGGACAGAACGCTGTCGAACAGCGCATCTCGATTGCCGACCGACTTGATGTCCTCAAAGATGTTGCAGGGGAGGCTCTCGACATCGGAAATCATGACCATAGTCGCCCGAACCTGACAATCTATGAGTACATCAAGAGTAGCAACTACACCACAAAATTCGCCAGCCTTGTAGACGAATACAAGGGCCTCATTGACCTTCTCAACGGCACCGACGCCACCAACTACACCCTCTTTGTTCCTGTCAACGAAGCCTTTGATGGTATCCCGAACGATCCGAAGAATAAGCCGAGCAAGGAGGCACTGGAGGCTCTACTCAAATACCACATCGGAGTGGGGGAGTACCCGGCTAGCAGCATTCTGACAACAAACACCATCCCCACCGTCTTCGAGGAGGCCTGGCTTGGCGGGGATCACCAGCGACTGCGTACTAGTGTCGGACTGTCGGGAGTGAGGATCAACTTTTACAGCAAAGTGGTGGCAGCTAATATTGTGAGTCAACATGGGTCATCCTTGCGCTGGGAAAAAAGTACATGAGTACTCCGTCTACTGACATATCCATAGGGAGCCACTAATGGCGTGATTCACGCTGTCGGCAGCGTCCTGAAGCCACCGCCCATGATCGGCCGTGTCCTAAGCCTCTTTCCCAGCGAGTTTTCGACGCTGCTGCTCGCTTATGAGAAGACAAACTTTGTGCAATTCATTCACAATGTCAAACTGGTTGGAAGCACGGTGTTTGCGCCCTCCAACAATGCCTTTTCGGCCCTCGGCCCTAAGGCTAATGCCTTCCTCTTCAACACCGAAAAGGGCCGTGGCTACCTCAAGGCTCTTCTCAAGTACCACATCGTCGCCAACGCGACGCTCTACAGCGACGCCTTCTACGACAAGACGGGCAACGACGTCGGTGACGAGGGCGGAAAGAAGGAGCATTTTGACCTGGTGACGTTGCTTGACGGCACACACATTAGCGTCGACAGGTCAACATTTGCTGGGTTCACATCCATCAAGGTCAATGGGTATGCCAAGGTCAGTATTCGTGATGGTGTTGGGAAGAACGGAGTCATCCACGTTGTGGACAAGGTGCCCATCCCCCCGCGAAACAAGGCCGAGGCGTCCAGCCAAACAAACGATCTGGACGGTCAATTGACTGTTGAAGAACTCGTCGAGCGTCTCGATCCCTACATGGACGGGTCCGTTGAACCTGAATTAACTGGCCTTGAGCTCTGAAATCGAGTACTGGATACGTATGACGATTGACGTCTACTTGTATTCATTTATACTTCTCTGTCTTGTTCATTCAAATTCAAGTCTTGAATATTAGTCTGAAATTTTTTGCCTTCATTGTGTCTAAAATCATTTGTCTATATGCCTGACTACTACGCATAGAACTTCGACATTTCTATAAGCAAAGAGGAATAAGACAAAACCCGGCCTGTAAGAAAAGGCTCCTATAGTAGTAATATAACTACTGTAAACGCATAACACTCTTGCGCGCGCTTTGGCATTTTGACTCCTCAAGGCTTCCTGTCGCGGGAACCAGTCATTGATGGCATCGCAGTTCTTGTTCGTGGCCAACTTAATGGTGTAATATCTCGTATAGCATTCACTGTTATATTACTATTGTTTCTGATTGTCACAAGCTCACTGCCACTATTTGTTGAGCTAGTATTATTATTATTAGTACCTGTACCTGTACCTATTTCTTGATTTTCAGTTTACAATAATTTCCAGAATTTTCATAAATCTTCTGGTTGTTTATTTGAAAGTTTATCAATACCCTTCCTGCTTTGTATGTCTTGGCAAGTTTGGCAAATCAAACCCCTGCTATCAATAAGACATTCCCCAGGCTCACATACAATCACAGTTCAGTCAAACTAGAAGTAATACTTTCTGCAACGGATTGCTACCCGTGATTTAATGTGAGACCAGGCACTTCGTTCAGTAACATCAACAAAACATCTATTGGCCAAGACTCAAGCTTGAAGTCACGCCAGAGACGCGACAGCGTTTAACGCATGTAGATACTACGAATGAGAATGAGCGGTCTTAGTGACGATTTAGAGATATTTAAACTACATGAGACAAATCAAGGGTTATCGTTTATGGAAGGCCCAGCTGACAAGCATGTACATGAATGAGACTGAATAATGTTACTAGGTATTCTGGGCATCCGGCTAGTAGATATGCTGGGCCGCTGCCTTGCCTCGTATTAGGAGCAACGTTGTTCGGGCCCGAGAGGAGCCAAGGACTCGGGAAATCAGCACACCAGCGACATACACAGAATAATCTCCGATGGAATAGTAGCATGATGAATTAATCAAATAACGCTGTTATGAGCATCTGTTTTTCTCTCTCTCAACATTGTGGATCCTTGTGGATCCCGCGATCTACGAGTCCGGCGAAACAATCGGCCGGGCACAGACATCCTCACAATAGCTAGATAATAGCAGGAAGCCTCACCTCACCTTCCTGCTACAGCATCAATCGGGTTATCCTTCCCCTTTCGGGTCAAGATGTAGCATCACATCGTCAGGTGTGAGTTACGAGGTGACCCCATTAGAAAAGAGCCCGCAGACGCACAACCTCGAATAACGGCTCAATTCATAATCCTGGCCAACTCAGACACACGCTTAACTGAGGTTATTCCCTGCACAAGTCTAACACCCCGGTCTCTCAGCCACTTTTTGAGACAGGGGGCATACATGTACAAGAGGAAAATGAGGGTGATGATCTGCTTGGCTAGCGCACATGAATGTGAGATGAAGAAATCAAGAATGATGAGTTGGAAGAAGTGACCCCATGCCCTCAGGCCATCAGTCAAAAACAATTGATCAACCTAGCAGAGTTGTAATATTGAGTCGTACTCGTACGTTTAGACGGCAGTGTTAAAACAACGTTCATCCCACTCTTCTGTTTCTACTCGATCTCTCTACTCCAAAGAAAGGATTCCAGCATGTCTCTCCAGAGTTGCCTAGATGCCGTCTGCGGCGGCCGCCCAAATTGCGTTGCCTACTCAGGCGACCTCCTTTATCAGACAAACTGGGTGAAGCCCTTCAACCTCGACCAGCCAGTCACGCCAGCAGCTGTCATAAGGCCAGACAGTGCCCAAGATGTGGCTGATGTGGTTAAGTGCGCCAGCGAGTACGGATACCCGGTTCAAGCGAGGTCGGGCGGTCATTCCTATGGGTGAGTACTCACTAGTGGATTCATTTTTTCCCTTTTTTCCAAGGGAACAAAAGAACAAAAAACAGAAGCTATAGAGTAACTGAACGAATTACTTTCTAAAGAAACTACGGGCTCGGCGGTGAAGATGGTGCCATATCTATCGACTTGGTCAACTTCCGGAACTTCTCCATGGACGAAGATACGTGGACGGCAACATATGGATCCGGATTCACTCTCGAAGATCTCGACAAGGAGCTCCACTCGCATGGAGGTCGTGCCATGGCTCACGGTCTTTGCCCATCAGTTGGAATCGGCGGGCATGCTACCGTTGGCGGTATAGGCTTTCTATCTCGGCAGTGGGGACTGGCGCTCGATCACATACTCGAGGTCGAAGTTGTGACCGCCGACGGCGAAATTCGACGAGCGAGCCACAAGGAGAATCCAGATCTCTTCTTTGGCCTCATGGGAGCGGGTGCCAGCTTCGGGATCATAACCGAATTCAAAGGTCGCACCGAAAAAGAGCCGGGAACGGTTATTCAGTACACGTATTCCATCAGTGTAGGATCCCCCAAAGAGATGGCACCCGTATTCCGGGCCTGGCAGGACCTGGTTACAGACCCTGATCTGGACCGCCGATTCGGGAGTCTTCTCGTCCTGCAGCCGTTAGGTGCCTTCGTCACAGGCGTATTCTACGGAACTGAGGAAGAGTATGAGGCCAGTGGCATTGCCGAGAAGCTGCCTGCAGGAGGAGACATCCAGATCAAACTTCTCGACTGGCTCGGGTCTTTGCTGCATGTTGCCGAGGCCGCCACGTATGGACTTGCCGAAACCCCCAACGCATTCACCAGTCGCTCTCTCGCCTTCAGCCAAAAGGACCTGCTTGACCCAGAAGCCATTGACAAAGTCTTCGCGTGGATTGACGAAGCAGACAAGGGAAGTCTGATCTGGTCTGTTTACTTTGACGGCCAGGGTGGTGCCATTGCCGATTACGGTGAGGGGAACTCATACCCTCATCGCGACACGATATATTTCTACCAGTCCTATGTTGTTGGTCCCCTTGGTGTTACTGACGAGTCAGTGGAGTTTGTCGATGGTCTCCACGAACAAATGCACGCCGTGGCTCCCAACGCCAACACCACCTACGCTGGCTATATTGACCCAAGTCTTAACCGCACAGCTGCAAACGAGATATACTGGGGCGAAAAGCTGCCGAAGCTGAGGGAAGTAAAGAAGAGGTGGGATTCTAAGAATGTCTTTAGAAATCCGCAGTCGGTTGAGTTGGCGGATTAGGATGCTTTAGATATATGTATTCATGCACATATGGCAATAATACTATTTTGCGCGTTTTGATCCATTTCCCACTGTCCCTATCACCTGACCTTGATTCATTTTACAGAGCTTGATTGACTGATTAGTGACGACTGACCAGTATTTACATACATGATTGACCTTACGCCACCACCGTTGCAGCCGGTACAACCTTGGGTTTGCCGTCAACCTGCATTGTTTTTCGTCTACGGTGAAGTACACTTGTCCTTGTTATTTTCAAGGAACTCCTTCCAGATAGTGGCTTGACATCGAGAAGAGATGGGCATCAAACAACCCCATGCTGTCCTTCGACATAACGAAACATTACCATTATGTCCGTATTTTCCCCAGTGTTTGATTGATACTGAGCTCTACTATTGTTTATCAACAAGAGGCAGCTTTAGATCAAAGCGTGTTCTGGTTGAATCTGACTTTTGAGGTATAAAGCCTGCTACTTTACCTGCTTACCACTCATCTAGCTTTTTCCATTCTTTTCTTTTCAATGGGATCCTCTCTGAAGCGATGACCAGGCCATGAGACCATAACCATCCACCTATACTTATGTCAAAATGACTATGTCAACACAGTAAAGTCTACCATATCAACGTTATGTTATATTTCCTCATGTATACTAGATAAAGACAGCGTGTCCCATGTATTTCGTTATGTGGAAATTGGCCTCGTTGGGCGGGCTCCACGCACCAAGTTCTTGGCCTGGGTATGTATCGGGGCTAGTGATTGTCCGCAGAAACTGCATCCTCCACTCTGTACCCAGCGCAGCTCCGTCATCGACATTGAAAAGAGCCAAGGGTATGCTGACCTCACTGGTCCATATCTTGGCAGGTCGGTTAAGTATTGTCGCTGCTTTGAATCCATCGGTTTTTGGGTCGGAAACAAAGAAGTGGTCGAATGGAGCTCCGTCAGCTCTTGTCTTCGTCGGGTTGAAGACAAAGGCTTGGTATGTCACATTGTTGGGGTTGATCTCAAACTCGAGGTATGTCTGGGGGTCGTCTGTGCCCTGGTAGATGAAAGCTTCCATGACCTCGTACTCCCAAATGTCATCATTTATCTCCTGGCTCGCATCGAAGTAGAAATTTGTCTCATTGTAAGCCGTAAGAGTAAGTGACAGGGAATTTGCTGTGTAGCAGAGGTCCACCTGTGTCAGAGCGAAATCGTCGGTTTGGCTAGGGACAGACTTGGTGTAGGTAATGGTTCCCTTGATGGGACAAGCGGGGACTTGCACCGATGGAGTAGAGGCATTGGAGTGTGAAGCTTTGACCAGGCCCGAAGTGGCCACCAAGAGCATCAATGTTTCGTAGTAACGCATATTGGACCGTCTGAGCTGTTTCCCCAGGATCCTGGCTGAGGATGGTGACGCGTCGAGTATGCGAAAGATCTGAGGCGAGACGGTTATCAATGTTCAACGTTGAGCGGGTAAATCAGCGGATTAAATACGCAGAAATATCGGACATTAAAACAGAGTGGTACGGATGTTGATGCTGACCATTGAATGGGCAGTGGACGAATAATATGATATTAGAGAGTGGCCAAGGCTATGGTCCTTATAGACTAAAAATATTGCAAGCATCCCTGGTAATTGTTTTTTCCCTTGAGTTATTTTACCGTATTTCCAGTTCTAGATTCTATAAGACGACCGTTAATATAGCCTAAAGTACGTTTGCTCTTCTGCAGGTAGTAATGTTGATATCGCTTGTCCTTGCACGCTGAGCCGGTTGATTGGTGTGTTTTCCCTACAATCAGCTTACGCACGTCGTAACGTTAGCACGTATCAACGAAATAGTCCGGTAGAAAAGAAGAAGAAAAAGTGAACCTCTTGGCCGACAAAAGAATAATACTAATGTATCATTTAGTTTCTACCTATATCTTCCGGATTTTTTCTTCCCCTTTGTTCATGCACCATGACAACTTTGGACAGTTTCCTTGTCCTAAAGTCGGCCACTAGATCAAGGCTTTTTTTTTTTTTTTTTCACTTGTACACATGGCAGTCCAAGAACCAACAACAGCCTTTTGGCAAGGCGCACATGCATCCTTGAAGTCTGAGAGGGGACAAGAAACTCATTCTAACATTTATAACAGATCTCGGTGTGTTGTGAGTGCTCTAGATGCATCTATTTATCGGCTCGTCCGGACCAAACAGTTTTGTCGTGTAGAAAGCCCCAGGCTTCTTTGTCTCCAACCTCGGAGTTGCTCGTGACAATGCCAGCTTCGGGGCTGAAGTCGGGGCCAGCGTCATTGTACGTCGTGACCACTCTCGTGTTTTTAGCGCCTACCTCAACTATCATTCCGGCGGTGCGCTCATCCTTCTGTACGCAATCAAGCATGGCCTGTGCAACCTCGAGGGGGCTAACCCAGGCGTCGCGCGATTGATCAACATTCGCAAGCTTCTCGGGGTTCTCGCTCCAAAGCGGTGTCTTGACGACTCCGGGAGCCACAGCATTCACCCGGATACCCTCAGCATCTAGTGGGGCAATAGCCCTCACAAAACCCGTAATGGCAGACTTGGAGGCCCCGTAGAGGGGAGCGCGGAACACGGGAATCTGGGCAGCCACGGAAGAGATGTGAACGATGCGCTTGGGGTTCTCGGGTGTCGCCTTGGCCGGAGTCGGGAATGGGGAACTCGCATTCTCGTCCGGATATAGCCACTTGGAAATAGCCAGTTGTGTTGTGCGGATGGGATGCGCCAGGTTGATGTCTAGAAGGGCATAGTGACCCGCGTCGACCTTGTCTCGGCTTTGCTTCGATCCCGGTGGCAACCAGAAGTTGGACCAGTGAGGCTCATATACACCAGCCCCAGGGCAAACCACATGGACATCACCAAACTCAGCATAAGCCACGTCAAACATGTTCTCCAACGCCGGCCACGACGTCACATCGGTCTCAACAAAAACGGCCCGAGGCGAGTTGGTATTTTCAGAGGAGAAGCTCGATACCACATCTCTGGCTTCAGGGCGCAGAGATAAGTCGGCAAACACAACGTTGCAGTTGTGAGCCAAGAGTAGCTCCGCAAAGGCGAGGTTGATACCTATTTTTTTTTTCCGTTGGCCTCAAGGTCAGTATGAGGACCGCCAACTGTCGTTCAATGTAACGTAACCAACCTGAACCGGCACCAGTGACGATGGCAGTCTTTCCTGCGACAGTAAATGGCATCTTTCCTTTGGTCTGTAAAATCACAGTGTGCACGACCTCGCGGATTTTATTACCTGGGAAGAAGGGGGTGTATAACTTTGGTCATTTTAAGGTCCCCGTCACATATGCTCTCTCGGCCCCGCTTGGTAATACCCCGAAGTCCCCAAATACCGCTTTCCCCGCTGCCATCGGACCCGCTTGATGGAGGGGGCTTGAGAGGGGAAGCTACTGGCGGAATTTCGAAATATTGGACGCGGCGCTCCTGGCTGTCTTATTGCTTGATATTTGCCTCTCTGGAGAGACAGTAACAAGCAGAATTCTCAACTAGTATGAACATACGAGACTCGTACCATGTTTAAAGAAATTCACATTTGAAAAATGTTAGATAGGAAAATTGATCTCTGCAACTTCTTGTCATGAGGGGAAAATAATGCTTCGATATGTGTATTGTGGATATGACAAAATCGGAGCCGCTGCAGTTCGTTCTTTCGGTTTTGTCTGATGTCCCTCTTTTCCCACCTTTCTCGACTGCTGACTGATGATGACTGCCGATAGCTGTGACCACGACGGTGCGAGATCTTCCGAACGGCAGCGTGGGGCCGTTCCTGTTATGAATATACAGCTGCTTTCCTCCGAATTCGGTGCGTGGGCCAGATGTCATGTGCATTACACAGAAGAACAAACGCATGCATCTGGCTTGGAGAGAAGGTACCATGAGATTCGTCTACTTACTTATGGAGTGGGGGAGATTGATCTATGTCTGGTCAAGACTTGTGCGCGAATCCAGATTTGCCGCTGGTCTTGTTTATCGACGAACTAGAGCTGCGCCCATGCTAATCATGGCAATGCTTTCTTCTCCCCAGTCAGGAACTTGTGTCGTTCTGTAAAAAGCAGTGACTAGAAAGTATTGAACACAGTGTTGAGGGTGTTAGTCAATTAGGTGATGACACCACGTTTAGCGTGATGCTCATATGTAAACGAATTGACCCAGGTGAGAAATCTTGGCTGATCGGCGTATTGACAACCGTTGGGGAACAAAGCGAAGAGGCTTTGGCCCCTTGCTGGGAGGGTTTAGCATTATGGCCTTGAGATGATGACTGTGAAGGACAAGAGTACTGCCCATTGACATTTCAACGTTGGAATGCCAGCCAAGGGAAAGTGTGGTAACGGTTCCTACAGCAGCGACGTCGCACGGGATGTAGCTGACCTCCATCGCGTAATTTCCCGACTTGATAGCCATATAAATTCACGATTTCGTTTGACGAGAACATCCCAGTGCGCGTTGCAAGGACGAAGTGGTTTCAAGGGTTCAAGCCCACATGACTCTACCTCGGTACATGATACTGTACCGTGCGATTATCGAGCGTCTAGTCCTTTTCTTCTGCTGTGATTTGGTCGGCGATGTTTGGTGCATGTGGGATCTGTTCCATTCTTGTGTAATACATGTTATTTCTCAAACAAAAGGATCTAATACGGAGGGCTCAAAATAATCTCCATGACAGCGCCGGCCGAAATCAATTCCCCCCGAGGTATCCAGTCTTTATTGTGCAAACTCCTTGTCGATCTCAGCCTGTTTTTCCGCACTCAATTTCTTCTCCTCGTGAATAGGTTCCTCGGCATTTGTCACACTCGTCTTTCCCAACAGTCCCTTGGCGACGCGGAGCATGCTGGAGCGACCCTCCCAAAGCGGGAAGATACCAACAGCAATTGAGCTTCCAAACAACCAGATAATCCCGACAACAACCCATCCAGTGAAAAAGGGTTTGGAGAAAACGTAGGAGGAGCCGTACATGGGCATGGGCCAGAGAACCAAGAATGCCAGAGACATGCCCACTGTCATGACCTTGGCAACATTGGATGCCTTGTTCAGTTTGGCGTTGTCCTCCTCAAGGACAGCGATGACACCAGGCGTTGCAGCCCCCGATTCGGAATCGAAAACAAGGTCTGAGCCATCCGCATCGTCGGCTTGCTTGATGGCTGCCATGGACGACCAGTCGTAGCTGTCGGCGCCAAATGCAAAGGTGAAGAATGGGACGAAGATGAGGGGGCTGAGAAGAGCGGTAATGTTGCCTGCCAGCATGGGATCGTTGGTGCCCAGGTTGTCGACGCTCAGGACATTGTCGAATTTCCTGGCACATGTGACAGTCCAGGCAGTAAGAGAACAGCAGAGCGCGAGGACAGGGGAGCAGGCAGCCGCGATCCAATTCTGTTTCTTCCAGAGAAGCGTAAGCGTGGCTGGAATGACTGCCCCGGAGATCATGACACCCATCCACAGATAGAGCCAGCCCATGCTGATGCCTGCATAGTGCAGTCCAACACTGAATGCAGCCATGACAAGGCCGTACACAACGACGGCCGAGTGGGAAATCATGATAAGTCGGCGGCCAGAGGCAGCGGGGTTGATGTAAGTCCTGTTTTAATCCTTGTTAGCGGGATGATATCGGGAAGCAGAAAGCGTGGTCCGGGGGGCTCGTACTGGTAGATGTCATAAGTGTAGATGGAGGACACGGAAATAAGCTGGGCCGAGGTAGCAGACGTCACAGCCATGAAGATCATGATGAGGGTGCAGATGGCGCCCGATTTCCCAAGAAGGCCAACGGCGGCATAGGGGAGGACCAGGCCAGCCGTAACGTCGGCGGGGTCCATGCGGTTGGGGTACGTAGGGAACGAGGGGCTGTTCTCGAGAGCCAGAGCGCTGAGACCCATGGTGGTTGCACACAGCCAGGGGATGGCAAACCAGGAGAGTCCACCGATAATGTATCCGGGAAGAGCAGCGACCGGGTGGGCAGCGATCGCCTTGTTGTAGTAGCCTGTTCAAGCTGTTAGAGACATTGCCCCACGACGTTTTGACACCTGAGGATGCGTACCATTGTCCATGAAGACAGTGCCAAAGTTCCCGACAATGTTGATGACAAAGAATATGATTCCATCCTTAGATCGCATAGTGAGGTACGAGCCCTCGGCGTTGCCCTCGACTGGGTACAAGGCTGCGACCTCTTTAAGGCGGTCGTACATGGCGGATGGCGAACCGAGCTCATCACCGGTAGCGTAGGCGGTAAGGGCAAAGATGAGGATGATGACAAGGATGATGACCGTGTGGACCTGATTATATAGGTTAGAAGGCGCAATCTATGCGATAAAAGAGTCCTTCTGTACTTACGTAGTCAGTCAAGAAGGTCGCCTTGATTCCCCCAAACATGGTGTAGATGACGACACCCAGAGGCAGAAGGAAGCAAGCAGCAGCAGTGTGCATTCCTGTCAGGGACGTGACAACGGCAGAGCCACCAGTGAGCAGCATAGCCGTGACAAGGATGTTGGTGAAGAGGCAGAAACAGATGTAGACGGAGTGGGTCAAGCGGCCTGGTAACGCGATATCAGTGCAAACTCTTTCCAGTACTGTACATGCCTTGGCTTACCATATCTGGCCCTGATGACTTCGAGGAACGTGTGCGCATTGGGTGCTCTGCGCTTGAGCTCAATGGCCAGCGTTGCGAACAAGATGATCTGCACTGTTGCGCCAGATGCATACTTCGCGGGTCAATATTTCGAGCGCGTCGTTCGAGTTTTGTGGACAGTTCTCTTACCCAGAATGGCCCCGAAACACCGTATTTGTAGGCCACACCTGACGATTGCAGGAGCGTAGCGGCCCAAGTCCAACTCGACACAACGGCGGAGGCGACAAGGCCGGACTTGACAGACCTTCCAGCGGTGTTGAAGGTTTCTGAAGTTTGCTGCTCATTGTTGTATCTTCACGACAGAGTAAGTCCATGGATACCATTGTACAGCGATGACATGTGGACGGATCATTACATACCGTTTGAGAATCCATGTGGTGAGAATCATTCCCAGAGCAAAGAGAAAGCCCAGGCCGATGATGATACCATAGCCGTAAGCCTGGCTCAGAGGGGGGTCTACAAGCCCCGAAGAGGGACCGCCGCCGCCTGCCATGATGTTCTATTCTTCTATCACAAAAGATATCCACTCTACGGCAAGAGAAGGAGATTCAATTGCAACTGCGAGTGAAGCTTTCTTGGAACTAAAATACGGGGAACAGATGCAGCGGGCTACAGACATCATTTAATAGGTTTTCCTTTTTCTTTTCTTTTTACACCGAAGAATTTGACGGCTGAACATGGAGAGATAACAGCCCATGGCTTCAGTCCCAAATTACCCAATGATAACACACCCTGGGGAACTCCAGCTAGGCGGCTCAGAACATCTGCCGTGGAGATGCTCGAAAGACAGGGTCCACAGGGGGCATCAAGATCAAGATAAATGATAAGCACCTTACGGGCTCGAGAGTACGTCTTACTAGTATTTAATTACTCGTACTGTAGCTAGTGACCGGAGTACATCTCCCAGCTGTTGATTGGCTATTAAGCCATCGTGAGCGGGTCTTCATCGAGTGATTTATCGAGCGTCATCCATTATCTTGGCCGGCGGCCACTTTCGTCCCAAAAGACTGCATCTTTAGTAATGATTAATATGCGACACATTAAAAGACGCGGCCAGATATCAACCGCGTCTTTCCACTAGTAGTTAGCCATCTAGAGTTCCCATCTGCCGACGGCCTAGATCTTGCTTTTCCGTTATGCCTGCGATTAGCTTTACATGTATAGGATCAACCCCCGGTGGCCGGCACTGGTTAGAAATACATGTTACTACTCCGTACATACTCGTACATACATGCAATTTACTGCATTCTATGTGTCGAAGAAACTCCCCCACGCAACAACGAAGGAGGATAGCCCCAGTGCCCGACCCCGTTATCGATAGAGTTAATATATTATGCTCCGTATCGCATGTACAGCATGCTGATATTATTTCCTGTGACATATCCAGACTGAAGTCGTTACACAATCCGCAACGTGACATTGACCCCCTCCCGGTCATAGTTTCCCTCCATCAGTACGCGCCGGCCGGTGATATGATACGTGTGTCTGAAATAGGCAATTCCAACGTTTGAAGTTCGCCATATTACAGAGCCACAATCCAGAGGGGGGGGGCATCAAGGAAGCCGTGATCAAAGATTAGCCACCCACATACTTCAAGAGACTTTACCGCCACCCTGCAATCTTTACATACTAGAATGCCTAATGTCATATTAGTATCAGCAACGCCTCAGTGTAATTATGCCAAGATCGGGGGGAGGCTGTAAGCCTAAAATTTTTACTGGGCCTCCCCGCGGCGTCATATTTATGAGGTTGATAGTCCTACTCCGTTTGCATGCAAGGATATTCATGCCCTTGTTGCTGTTACCATCTGTATAGTAAGCGGCTTTTGCAAAATAGCATTATATGCACATACACACACATCTCCCTTCCATATATCACCCTCCTGTGTTCTCCAATGAGAAGTTGATGGGAGATACGTGTCATTGCATCCCGCCCAACTGGCTGTACGCTACACAATCCCCACGCCGGCTTAACTATCTGTCCATGATCAGAAACGCAGAATATCTAAAACAAAATTTCACAAAGATGGCTTCCACAACAAGACTGACATGGTCTTTGAAATATGCGGCCTGACGTGGCCTAGACCTGGCACAAGCTCTCCCGCAGGCGCGGGGAAGGCTTGACACTCAGCTGGTGTTTAAGACGCAGGACTGTTATTGTAACAGGATCTCGTGTACAATTCAATCTAATGCAACAGAACCTAAGGAGGTTGAGCTATGGCAAACGTTGACGACGTCTTCCATGGATTTTTCCATGGATTCATTGACACACTCTAAACGAGTGTCCTCTTTCTAAGAACATGACAGCCGACCAGCTTGGAGAATACCTACCCACAGACCTCGATGGCTTGAAAACGAATTCGGTATCCATTCCAAGTCCTGACCAGCCTGGTGGTGGAAGCCTCGTAGACTACTGTCTTGTCAAGGCCTACGTCCCTCACCAACATCAATCGCCTTGCTCGACGCCGTCATCTCCAGGGACATTCCAGGTCTACAATCAAGAGTTGACATGGCCGGTTCTTCTTCTGCCGTCAAGGCCAATCTTACCGATTCAGAATCTCGTCTTGGGATCAGGTGTAACGACGTACGACCTCATACTCTCACCGAAAACCTTCACGAAGCTCCCCCCATCTACGAAGCTCGCCGTCGCCTCGACCACATTGCAGGTGATATTGCCGACAAAATTTTCGCCCGGTGTTCTCGATGGAAAATGCTGGCTAAGGAACACACTGCAGTTAAAATCATAATGTGCAGATCAAGGTTCTAGTCTTGCTCTCCAGCAATGATTACGGTCAAATAAGCCCTCTTGTCTCCGCTCACGACGTTAGCAACGTGTTCAATAGGAGTATTCTTCTTGAGCAGAAGGCTTATGGTGCAAGTTCTACCATTCCCTATTTCCCTACCGCTATCTCAAGTATTTACTAGCCATCGTATCTTTCAGCAGACTGTTTCCACACACAAGTCATACTACACCGCCAATGCAATGAGGTCCTACATTGTCAAAGGAGATATTCCCAAACTCGGAAGCGTGTGCAACATTGACGTCCCTTTCTTTTCTGGACTGGACTGGAGTGAAGTCATGGCTAACCCCGTAAAATAATAGACTGTTTCGTATGCATCAGACAATGAGTCTGCTTGGGGTAGGGGTTAGTGAGATAAGTGACAAGGTCCGCTGAGTATGAATAGTGGCGAGGTAGAAGTGTTTTAGTAGCCAAGGTATTAGTGGCAAGTGTATGCGTCTGATCACTGTCCCCCCTCCCTCGATAGAATCGAGCAAGGTGACCATGTATGTGACCTTTCATATTCTTTTACCTCACCTCCGTATAACTATTCCAATGAGCCCTGGCAATGCAGTACTAGACATACCAACGCTGGGCATAAAACATGATGTCGGACATTGTTGTCAGAAAGCAAAAGTTGCCGAGAAGAGATTAGTCTGACTCTTGGGGAGCTAGTAGGCTGTTACATATTATAGTACGGGTATCAGGTATGCGACGGTCGATACAAAAGGTTTCAGTGACGTAACGAGAGAAGAGAAACGCTAGATATTTATCACCCTTGACATCTGATAACAATGCTGGTTAAAGGCCGGCCCGCAGCCAGCACTCATCCAATCTGGAAAAAGACACCCGGACCCCGCCAGCGTCATAACAACATACCTGTGTTCCAAAGTAGGCATCAGATATGCAAGTGATTTGGTACAAACGACAAGGCTTCGAAAGTTCCGTAATGTCCTGTAGAGTGACCACACATCATCTAGCCCATTAATAATACAGTGACTTTCCGGAGACATGTTTGGGCCTAGCAGGCTTCGTGCGGGAGAGCAAACGGGACACGCCTAATGCCGAGAATCGCCCGAGCACATAGTAGCAGCCGGAAGGATTGAAGCGTCACATAGCAACACATATAAGGGTATTATGGATGCGTAGAATGGAATCGTTGATACTAACGCCTTCGAGCTCAATTCGATTCTGTAATATTACACTCAGGTGTATTTCATAAAACGATTAATGCAATTTTCGCTACTGTTGGAACATTTGTGAAGCCATCTCCATTTTTACCGTCGGCGCACTTCAAGACATGTACAAATTCCACCCCCTCCAGTTCTTTTCATCTCTTCCATGTACCCATATGGTGGGAGGTTCATAGGCGGGGACGAGCCTGGGTGGATACCTCAAAGCGATCAAGGTTCATGACCTTGTCCCAGGCAGAAATGAAATCGTACACGAGCTTCTTGCCGGAGTCAGAGCAGCCGTAGACCTCAGAAATGGCGCGCAGCTCAGCGTGAGAACCAAAGACAAGGTCAACACGCGAAGCAACCCACTTCTTTTGGCCAGTCTTGCGGTCAAGACCGTCAAAGGTCTCGCCGCTGGCGTCAGTGGGCTTCCACTCAGTGGCCATGTCAAGAAGGTTGACAAAGAAGTCGTTGGTCAGAACACCGGGGTGCGAGGTGAAAACACCGGTTGACGAGTTGTCGTAGTTGGCACCAAGAACGCGTAGACCGCCGACAAGCACCGTCATCTCAGGAGGGGTCAGGCTCAACAGGTGGGCACGGTCGATGAGGATGTGCTCAGCCCTGACACGCGAGGTCGACTGGCCATAGTTGCGGAAGCCATCGGCATAGGGTTGAAGGTAGTTCATAGCCTCAATGTCGGTCTGCTCCTGTGAAGCGTCCGTGCGACCGGGGGTGAAGGGGACTGTGGCGTCAACGCCAGCCTGCTTGGCAGCCTTCTCAACGGCAGCACAGCCACCAAGGACGATCAGGTCGGCAATGGAGACCTTCTTTCCGTTGCTGGCGGAGCTGTTGAAACGCTTCTGGATACCCTCGAGGGCCTTGAGGACCTCGGCGAGCTCAGTGGGGTTGTTGACCTTCCAGTCCTTCATGGGAGCGAGGCGGATCCTGGCACCATTTGCACCACCGCGCTTGTCGCTGTTGCGGAAGGTAGAGGCGGAGGCCCAGGCGGCTGAGATGAGCTTAGAGGGTGCGACACCAGTCTTGAGGATCTCCGCCTTGAGAGCTACGACGTCCCCGGAGTCAACGATTGGGTGGTCGAGGGCGGGGATGGGGTCCTGCCAGATGAACTCCTCCTTGGGAACATCAGGACCAATGTAGCGGGAACGGGGGCCCATGTCACGGTGCAGAAGCTTGAACCAAGCTTTGGCAAAGGCGTCCTCAAACTCAGCGGGGTTTGCAAGGAAGCGACGGGCAATCTTCTCGTACTCGGGGTCGAAGCGGACCGACAGGTCAGTGGTTAGCATGGTGGGAACGTGCTTCTTGTTGGGGTCGTAAGCGTCGGGTATGGTGGCCTCGGCGTTCTTGGCCTGCCACTGGGGAGCACCACCAGGGCTCTTGACAAGTTCCCATTCGAACTTGAAGAGGTAGTCCAGGAAGTCGTAGCTCCATTTGGCAGGAGTCTTAGTCCACGTCACCTCGAGACCACTGGTGATGGTGTCGGGTCCCTTTCCGGAGCCGTACTTGCTAGTCCAGCCGAAGCCCTGCTCCTCAAGATCAGCAGCCTCAGGCTCAACACCAACGTGGCTGTCGGGGGCGGCACCATGCGTCTTGCCAAAGGAGTGGCCTCCGGCAATCAGAGCAACGGTCTCGGCATCATCCATACCCACTATTTTTAGGACCATCATGTTAGTTATCTCCGCATCAAAGTTTCTGCAGGAATGTAGTACGCAGTACTTACTTCGTCCAAATGTGTCGCGGATGTCCTTGGCAGCCCATATAGGATCGGCGCTGCCCTCGGGACCAGTGGGGTTGACGTAGATAAGGCCATGGACCGAGGCAGCCAGAGGGGCCTCGAGGTTCTTGGCGGGCAGATTATCACCACCCCTCTTGACTTGCCAGCCGGCAAGACCTTCAATTCCACCCTCGTAACGCTCCTTGTTGCCCCAGAATTCAGGCTCGCGGCCCCAGTAGGTCGAGTGATCGGCTTCGTAGTTATCGGGGCGTCCGAAAGCAAAGCCAGCAGTCTTGAAGCCCATGTCTTCCAAGGCAATGTTTCCAGCGAGCACAATGAGGTCTGCCCACGAGATCTTTTCACCATACTTCTGCTTGATGGGCCAGAGGAGACGACGGGCCTTGTCGAGACTGGCATTGTCCTGCCAGCTGTTGAGGGGGGCGAATCGCTGTTGACCGTGGCCACCACCGCCACGACCGTCGAATTGGCGGTACTAGATAAAGGGAGAAAGTGTTAGCTAATTCTGCAACATTTTCAGTTGAGGAAAACGTGGGCAATGACGTACTGTTCCAGCTGAGTGCCAGCTCAGACGGATAAAGAGACCACCATAGTGGCCAAAGTCAGCGGGCCACCAGTCCTGGGAGTCGGTCATGAGGGCGTGCATATCCTTCTTGAGGGCAGCAAAGTCGAGCTTCTTGACGGCCTCGGCATAGTTGAAGTCCTTTCCAACAGGGCTAGCCGACGAGGAGTTCTGGCGGAGAATGTGGACGGGCAGCTGATCCTTCCACAAATCACTGGGTTGGGTACCGCCACCAGCGGCATTAGCCTGCTTGAGGCTATAGGGGCACTTGCTCTCACCCATGATGTCGATGAGGTTGTCGAGATTTAGGCTGGTAGTAAGGAATGGTAGGTTTTGGTGAGGGAACTCCAGTCGAAATCCGGGAAAAGGATTCACAACCAAAAGAGGGGTCCTGGAGAGGGGGTCGCAAGCTTTATACCTTTCAAACCGACATTTGCATCCGGACCAGGCGGCTCCACTACCTCTGTTTTCTACATGTAAAATACGCGACTTTGAACATACCTTGACCCCGCACATACCGAGCATTAGTATCTGGATGGCCTTGATTGGACATCTACAGTATCCACTTTATTGCAAGCGTCCTGAGATGGGCTCCTGACTGCGGCATCTGTCGGCGTTCGGAGATGTAGTCACTAGGTGGGTGTATTGGTGTATTGGCTGTATTGGAAACGTCAATACGACTGATTGTAGCTACATTCTTGAGGCAAATGCTACCGTTGGTTCCGTACAATGATAGACTGCCAACCTGCCTTCTTAGTTGATACACATTGCATGTGAATTTAAAGAGAAAGGTCCTCGGCAATGGCCGCAGCGTCTATGTGGGGGCAATTTCGGGCTTCCCCAGTCCTTCGACGCCATCCACCATGTCAGGAATTAGATAGCGCACACGGAAAACCGATAGCTTCCATGGAATATGGCCGGTCTTAGTAAAGTGTCTACTCGATACATACCAATCACGTGATTGAATATTGGGCTCTACGAGACGTGGAATCATCACTGGCACCGGTAATGATTCCAAAAACTCGCATTTCGGTATTGAAGGGTATTGAAGGCATCAAGACCAACGAGGAAACGATCACCACTTTCAGGGTCTGTCCCACGGAAGTTTTCAAACACGTGTCGGTAGAACATGCCGAAGTGTGAGACCTAGAAGTCTTTAACGTCCCTATACCCAGAACATGTTACATCGCAACGACGTTATTGGTTTTGTTGATCCATTTCACATGAACCCTTCTTGTTGTTCAAAAAACCGGTCGGCCTCTGTCCGTGATTCATGCTCATGATATGTAAGGCGTTTACTATTAGAGGAGTTGTGATTGAATCGCTGTGCGTCGCCCCTCCGAAACCCAGCCCCCTCGACCCGGTAAAACTTGCCGCACATGTTGGAGAAAACTTACCGGAATAGGAAACCCAGACAGCCACTTCACGGATGCTCAATCGAATACTTGATTCATTATTTGGAATCAATTTTGTACTGGTACGATCGATGTAAACTTTCGGGGGCCGCCTGATCCTGATATCCGATGACTTGCAAGTCATCCGTATTAATTCCATTATTGAATTTGCACATCAACAGGACCCAGGGACACAGCTCTGTAGTAATTCACGCGATCTGCGTCGTAGATTGCATACTGTGGTAATACCAACTGTTACCAATCGGTCTGATCCCATGGTTTCTTCGAGTATTAATAGCGTATACCCCGATATTGAGATTTCTATCTCGATCCATCGATCCAGATAGGAATTTTACCCCGGGATGTTCTGGCTTCATCACCTCCAAATGAGACCTTTACCAAACGAGAGAGCTACCGACAAAGACACAATGCTACACGTTGCCTACTATACAACTTCATTCAACAATCATTATTAATACACACATCTGTGATAATACCGTTGACCCACATCTGAGGCAAGTATGAGTCATGGCGTTGACATCAGTCTTTTCCCCACCCCGCGTCCATGGGCACAACTTTGAGGTGTTCTCATCTGCTGCTGGTCGGACCCTTTGGAAGTCTCCTTTGATATATTATATCCTCGAGACCCGGAGTCGACCGACTGTATCGACCATATCGATCGTCTCATCGAGAAGCGCAAGAAATGCAGCTGGGCTTGTTAAGGCGAACTAGTAGACGAGACATGGAAGAGTGAACATATTCGTGGACATATTCTTGGAACCAGGTGCATATATGAGATTGTAAAAGAATCTTGTAAATTTATACATAGAAGTCCATGTGCGAAACAGCACTTGACTCCCGTTTCAAAGTCCTCAGTGCCGATAACCCCACTAGATACCAAAGCTCATCGACACAACTGTGGAATACCCTAGAGTGAGTGATGGCACCCGAGGCGGAATCAATTGCAAACATGAACTTGCACCAACCAGTTCACTACATACATGGATTGAGTCTAGAAAATTTTGCGACACGAGCCGCAATTTCCTAACTTAACATATTTCCCCCCATTAATCATGCTGCCCTTGTGAGTAAGCTGTGGACGACCTCAAGTTCGATAAATCCATCAGCGATGCTTTATGAAGAAAAGCTCTCTACGTTTCAGCCGCTATCTAGGGTATAAGTCTAGATCGAGCTGCCATGGAGGCGGTCGAAGAGTTTGCCATTACATAGCCACTCGACACTTATACTCTGCTTAGGTCCTTCTATAAAGAAAGTCGGATAAATAAAGGGGTTGCGATGGCCTTTTTTGGCAGCTATCCAAAAACAGGTCTCCCGTAATACTTCAATACTGTCCGTGTCTCTGAAAATGTGATCATGTGTATTGCCTTTATAGGTGCTCAATCGGGAGTGGTACATGCGTCGAGACTACAAGATCGTGGGTATTATACACTATCTGTACGAATATCTCGACAATAATGGCAAGGTTTGGTCACTGGGAATAGTATATTCGCAAAGAGCTCTCTTGATTCTGAGGGGCGGTATCAATGCGTTCGCCCACCAGACATCTGCCTGCATCACCACTAAGCTCCACAAAGAGAGGCGTATTGTCTTTCATTTGTACGGCGTTAAGCATATTCCCGTTTAAAAATAAGCTTCATCATGTTTCTTAAATGATCAGTATAGATGGTCACAACCAAATAGGCCATGGCTGTCGAATTTCATGGAGTGATACTATACATGGTCGCAAAACCTAGTGAGTATATATAACCCAGATGTAATGAAATCAAACCAGGAGATCAATATGGTAACTCCTCCGGCTTATTTGTGTTCTTTTACATTTGCCTCAAAACTCCCAAGAATTCACCTTCTTTGCCCGAAGGCGTTAATGTATGATTATGGGAAAGAATCTATCAACAGGGTTCGCATCTCTTATCAAGTAGAAATTACAGCTATGAAACCCACAGCTTCAAGAGTCAAGACTGAATGTGACATTTAGAGTCACTCATCTTGAAAGGGAGAAGTCCGCGAGGTCCATCTTTATTATGTAATGAATATTACTATAGTTGTAATATTACTACTCTAAATGTTGAAAAAGAGAGCTGGGTTTCGGACAAAGAGGAGATCTTATTCCCTTCACACAAATACGTACGTTGGCCGATGCAGGGTGGCTGTAGCGTTGCAAACAATTTCTCAAGCTCAATTTCCTCATAATCATCAACAAGAATCACCATATTGAGACCTAAGTACTGTACACTTTGATAGAGTTCATATTTTTTCACGATAGTGCAATGGGGTCTTTGGGTAATACGGGGCAAGTCTACTTAGTTGTATTGAGGCGTCGGTGACGCGCGCCTCAATATGTAGGAACCAGTGAGTGTGAGTTCACCATACTCGAGTAGGTGGGTCTAATTAGACATGCCCTTTTAGTTGACGGTATTAATACAATACGGAGGAGTACACTGATAAGCCATCCATTGAAATAAGACCAACCCTCCGCTCCCTTTTTGCCCCGAGTTTTTGTAGTTCTTGAATTGAACAACCGCCACTAAAGTCAGATATACGAACCACTTCACCCCGATACCACATGCTACCCCAGGAGCATCAAGTGGACAACTACAGCCGAAAGCGATCGGAAAGTCACGACCCTGCACAGTATTGAACAACTGCGCCGCCAGTTGCGTTTCGCAGCGAAATGGATAATGCTGCTATACAATAACTGTGATGCCCATTGGGGGGGGAGGGGGGGGAGAGTGCTCCGGCGATGCTGCTGAGGTCCAAACCTGCATTGAAACGTTCGATTTTTCTCTCGGAAAAAATTCAAGCTAATTCCGGTCGAGGGTTTCGCGACTCTACAGCAAACGCTGGTTCAGCGGATTTGTTCTGATGCGCGATGGGGCCCTTCTATTACTATTAAGTAACGGCATCTGAAATGGGCCCGGTGTCGGCTCTTACGATGGTCTGGAGGAAAAGTTTCGGCTCGGAAATGGCCGTTGCAGTCACGGGTCTATTTCTTGATCGCCTAGAAGTTTTCAGTTTCGCCACTACAAAGCGTAGGCTTACTCAGTACCTCCGAAAAGTTGTATCATCATTGTTGAGACCAAAATCATTAATGACAGATAGCCTTTAGGACAGAATGTTTTTTGCTGCCGGCGATTTTTGACAGGGTCCAATTCACCCTGGTCTCCGGTCGCGATGGGTGTGGAGACAGGGACGCCGGAGAATATCATTCCAAGCTTCCTCTTACACAAGTTCCTCGGGTTTATTCTGCTGATCCCTCCGGCATTCTTTCACATTACCGCCATATAGGTGGCACATGATAGGCTGCCCCTTGAAGCCATAAACTTACGACTCGGACCATGATAAAGGATTCTGCACCAATCCCGGTCTGTGCCAACTCTTGTGGACCTCGATTTGTCACTAAAACCACAGTACGCCGTCCTCGGCCCGTGCTGGGCCTGTGTCGGAGTCGAACTTTTACGTCAACCAAAGCTTCCTTAAAGGGCCGTCATGCTCGTTTATGCACATGTTCCCTATTGCTTTTTTTTCTATCCCATTAAACCTTGATCGATGTGCGTCGCATCGTGTCTTTAACCGTCCTTCCACATGGGGATCTCTACTGCTGTCGGTCCGTGTCCACGAAACCCCCGTGACTTCATTATTTCGAGGCTTCAAACACGCTCTCTGACAAAGATTTCCTACTTATATGTACACCGCTCTCAGACACGCACGAGCTTCCGGGAACACAGCGGCCAATATGAGTAGCCGCTCGACAGAATCAACAACCGAGCGGGAAATAGAGATGGGCAATTTTGACAAGGAAGCAATCCAAGGTCAAGATGATGGAAAAGCCATGGTTGGGAATGTGAGCGCCGGTTCAGATGTAGATGAAGCTCCCCTCATCAACTACAGGACGCTCAGCTGGTGGTATGATTGCTCTTTGACTGAATACTCTACCCTACTTGGCCGTCAAGCTCACATTCAAATCCTAACACAGGCATGGAGGTATTATTCTCATCGCGGAAACGGTATCGCTGGGTATCCTCTCTCTCCCATCCGTCATCGCCACCCTGGGACTTGCGCCTGGTATCGTCTTGATTCTGGTAATGAGTGCTGTATCAACATACTCTTGCGTCGTCTTGGGAGAATTTCGCAAAAACTATCCCCACGCGGAAAACTTTGGCGATGCTGCCGAAATAATTACAAGATCGACTGGAATAGGGCCCTTCTTCCGCGAGCTCTTCGGGTGGGCCCAAGTCGTCTTGCAGGTTTTCGTGGCTGGTAGCCACCTTCTCACGTGGACCATATGCCTGAACACTCTAACCAACAGCTCTACTTGTACTATTATTTGGGCAGTTGTTGGCCTCGGTGTTTTTTGGCTTCTCAATACCCCGAGGACACTGAAGTATACAAGCTGGATGTCGTATGTTTGTAAGTGGTCTTTTATCTCCAGCCAGTCAGTCGTCGTGTTACTAACCGCATAATGTAGCTTGCATTTCCATCATTGTCGCTACTCTCATGACTGTCGGCGACGTTGCGCACGCACGCACTGTCACATCTGGGAGTTTTGACGTTTCCAGGAGTCTTCCCTTCCCGACTGCTTTCTTGGCCGTCGCAAACATCGCAGTGTCCTTCTGTTAGTTCTCCGCCACCCCACAAGATGATACTCGCCATCATGCTAACAGTTCACAGCTAGTCATTCCTGCTTCTTTGGCGTCATCAGCGAATTCAAAAATGAAAACGATTGGCCCAAGGCCCTCGCTCTTCTGCAAATCACCGACACAACCCTGTACCTGATTGCGGCCATTGTCATATACATCTTTGTAGGACGCGACGTACCGTCTCCAGCTCTCTCCGCTGCTCAGTCCGAAACTATGCGCAAGGCCATCTGGGGCGTCGCTATCCCGACAATTGTCATTGCCGGTGTTATCTATGGCCACGTTGCGTCCAAATATATCTTTGATCGTATCTACCGAGGCAAGAAGGGCGCGGTGAGACGCACCACTAGCTCCACGCTGGCATGGTTTGGCATCACCTTTGGTGTCTGGCTGATTGCCATGATCATTGCAGAGTCCATTCCCGTTTTCAACAGTCTTCTGGGCGTCATCTGTGCTCTTTTCGTCAGCTGGTTTTCTTATGGACTTCCGGGAATCTTCTGGCTTTGGATGCACTACGGAAATTGGTTCAACAAGGGTCCTAAGCAAATGGCGCGGTTTGCGGGAAACGCTGTGCTGCTACTGTTAGGTGTGCTCCTCTTTGGATTGGGATTGTGGTCGTCGATTGATGCTCTCGTGAAAGAGAAGACAGGGTCGCCATGGACCTGTGCTAGCAACGTGGCATGATGAGGCCTAAAAGGTCATATGTATAAGTAATATACTGATTGAGACACCGGTTTTTTAGAATAGCCTACTATCCACCCGTACAATCTTCCCTTCAAAACCTTATAAATGTATGATTATTCTTTTTGTTCTAAAGCAATCGACTGCCAGATACGCGTACGACTATATTAGTTGTCGTAATCCATGCACTGGCATTGATGTGCATATATATGTATGTAATAATGCAAGATATTGGTAGTGCATCAACATTGCATTTCCGCAGTAGCACAGCCACAGGCTACTAGTAAAAGTACTACTATGGCCACATGGGCTTAGCCACATTGACCCACTTTATGTAGCTCTAGTAATACGTCAGCGTCATAAGCATTTACGTCGTACTTAAACGGTGAGGTAGCTTCCCTCAGCTGAACTCCTCATTCATCTCGAACTTCACAACTCGTCAGCTGTACAATCAATCACTATGTCTCCCTCGTCGGCCACTCCTGCTGAGAACAAAGACACTCTAATGGCAGCCCCTATTCAGGAGTCTCTGCAGATGCAGCAGCCCAACGCGCATCAGGCCATGGGTACATTTGCCTCACCCCTATTTCATACCATTCGTCGCTGACTCTCCATCAGACCCTCAACAGCCTCACGCTGAGCAGCCGCAGATGACTCTGCGCGGCGGACAGGAAGGCCGTGGCATGTGCCCTGGAAGGTTCTGCTTCATAGTACGTATCATTTCCGGTAACCCGAAACTCAGGTGCTACTGTACTGTACTGACTTTCTCGTGTTCAGATCCCATGCCCTATCCCCATTAACTGCTGCATCTTCCCTTGCCCCTGTTAAAATGCTGCTCTTGTTCGTGTGGGATAGCTGTGCTTGCGAGCCTGTGTTGAGATTCATATATACCAATTAGATTGACCACTGGAGATGCTTCTTTTCCAACTAGTCAATATGCAGCACTGGCGAAAACTAAACTACCTACAATTACGTATATTAACATATATATAATCTGTTCAATTTTCCGTCAACGTGAAAGTCTAACACTGGTGTTATCAATCTCATTGCGGAGCTGCTTTCATCTCACCAGGCCCAAAGAGACACCAAAGCCTTCGAATCCAAATCCCATGATTTATTTCCCGAAGCACGCAGTGCGAGTCGAATTAGGTTGTGCGCTGTACTCCCAAGAAAGGTCGTAACTTTGAGTCTTTGTGCCTCGCTTATGGCATCATCCAACTGTTTGGCGGCATCTGCCCATACGTCGTTCCGGCATGTCTGGCCGCCCCGCAGGACACTGACGACCTCCTCGCCCACGGAAGAGAGAACTGCGGAACCACCGGCAGCATTGATACACAAGTCAAGGACCTGGTCAAGATCAAGTCCGACGTGGTTGGCGTAAGTGAGCGCCTCGACGGCAGAGCAGATATGAATGCCCTTGAGCAGGCCAATGACAAGGGCCAACTTGTCCTCCTTCGTTGTTGCAACACCTGCCACAGGAATTGCACTATCCTTCCCCTCTGTATAGAGGCGAATGAGCGACGCATCATCGTCAGAGAGATAGCCTTTCCTGACACCCGAGAAGTAGACCTGCTCGGAAGCGCTGGTCAGGGGAGTTGGGAACTCGAACCGTCTAGCCTCGGATGTGATGATAGAAGTGTCCTTCACAATGATGCCTAAGGCGCTGGCGACTGGCAAGTGGTTTTCGGCGAGAATACGTGGCAGACGGTTTTCTAGCATCCAGCTCCATCCGTCAGACTTGACAATTTGAGGTGCAACCTCCGTCAGAACCAGACCCAACTGGCTCGCAAAACCTAGAGCTTCACTGGCTGAAAGAATTTGGTTCGCCGCGAGGACCTGGTGCACCATCTTCATGTTGCTTCCTGCACCGACGCCCCCTTGCACAATGTATAGCTTATTAGGGTCGGCCATGGCATTCAGGATGGTGGAACCTTTTTTGATGGCCTCGTTAGACCCTCCAGCCATTATGGAAAGTGTACCATTCCCAGCCCGGATGGCGCCTCCTGAGACTGGGCAGTCAATCAACAAGATGTCGGGCCTTCCTCTCCTCGCAAAATCCTTTTCGAGGCCTTGCACATAGCTTGATGGGACTGTCGAGCATAGGTAGACAATCGATCCCTTCGGAAGGCCATCAATAGCAGGGGTCTCTCCGTCCAGCAAGACTGACTGCGCTTGTTGCGCTGTGGCAACCATGCAGACGCAGTGTTGTTTGCCGGCGGTCGCTTCCGCTGGAGTTGTAGCTGATTTGCCGCCGGCTTGTGTGAACCTCTCCAGTGTCGGGGCGTAGACGTCGAACCCTGTGACAGAGTAGCCTTGTTTGATGAGATTGGTGGCCATGCCGAAGCCCATGGCTCCCAGGCCGATAAAGGAAATTACCAGCTTTTCTTCAGACATGTTGGACGGTATACGTGGGCAAGGCGAATGGAGAACTAAGATTAGATGGAAAGTGAAGTTTGAATTTCAATCCCTGGTGCAGAAGATATTGTATAAAATGATTTTAGAACTCATCGTCCGAAATCGCATCTTTTGCCCCCCGAAAAGACCCCACCTATTCCATTGATTGCTTCTCGGAGGAATTACCGAAGGGCCTTTGTTGGCGGTGAAATTCCCGAGCTAACCGGAGCAACGTTCGGGATACGTTGACCCTTAAGTATCATGGAGAGCCTGGAACCTGGGCGCGCTTTATTGTTTAGCGGTTCTGCTATATTGAAAGAACCAAGAAGATAACTATCAGCCCATACTGCTCTACACCATGGTCCTTATTCTTCAGAAGCGCATACAATACGAACAATTTCCTATTTTTTTTTCATTCTTGCGCCGGTTTGTTGCTTGGCATCAATAAAACATTAGATTCTTTTCTTAGGTACTTGTGCAGTATTGACCAATATAGAATAGAATCTAACCGCCGCCACGCATGCATACGGCTAGGGATTTAGCCAGTGGCAGTGTAAACGCCCTGCTGCATGTTGATGATTACCAGAAAACCCCCCATATTTGGGCCTCTACAGCCCTGAAGTGGTAGCTGGGGGTGTCGGATATTCATTACAGGCCATGGTTATATGTGTTGAGGCATGAAGGTAACTCAAGGCTCTGAAAAAATGAAGGTGATGATGATCTAGCTAACTAACTAGCTACTGCACAATGTGAGATACGAGAAAACAAGGGCTGACTGAAACACGTGATCCTGAGGCCTGAGGCCATCAACAATATGCACTTCTAAACGTTCTCCATGATCTAGTGGATCTAGTAAGTCTTTTCCATCTCCATGATCGACATGGTCATATGGATCCGAATCAGACAAATCATGGGATCTATCCGCGTCAAGTCGCCAAGAACCCCTCCTCCCCACCTCCTTCACGAGAACTACCGGCTAGACCCTATGCATGTGCAACGACATTACCCATGACATTGCCAGGCACTAATATGGAACAGAAAACCCGTGCACGTGGAAAATTTAGAAGCTGACACGACAACATCTGGCTTGTTAGTTTCGTCTGGTTTTCATCTCACGTACAACCTCATCCCTCCATTCATGTAACACTCTTGTTCTAAGCTCTTTGAAATGTCAGATTCTTGGTCATGTATTCCAACACGTGTGGGATTTCCCGTGATAAGGGGTCTGAGACTTTACCAGCCCCATGAGTGTCGGGCGGCCAACACGCGCCTTTGCAGGAGCTTGCAGACGTGGATTTGAAAAGAATGATAGCTTCAGCAGCGAACAACACGCGGGATGGCTAAACTCCCAGAGAGGCCTATCTTCGTCATGCGCCATAATTGAGGGCCACGGTGTTTCTCGAATATAAGTTGAACGGGGAAACGGTTATGTACAACGAGATGCCATATACCCAGATTCCATCTATTATTGTGCATATCACATAGCCATCATGTCGCAATATTTTGCCTCCAGGCAAGCAGCCCTCGCCATCGTCCTTGCACTTGTAATGCTGCCGGTGATCTTGACCATACCCTTCTCCATCTTTTTTGATACCCGCACCTACCGTCCATTATATCTGGCTGCGCAAAACCCACCGAGCGCGCTCCCTCAGAAAGCAACGGCAAACGACCTCAAGTGGCAGCCTGTTCTAGACTTTGGGAACGATGGGTGTTATAATGTCCCGGCAATCGATGCCGCGGGAAATATTGTGAAAGGTCTGGATCACGACTGGGCCAGCACCTCAGAGGGTTGTCATGATGAATCGGACCTGGATAACAACAACGTATACTCTCGTCAACGTTGCAACAATGGCTGGTGCATCTATATCTACGACTATTATTTTGAAAAGGACGTGGCCATCCCGCATTTCCTTGACACTGGACATAAACATGACTGGGAGGTGAGCACAATCACATTACGATTCACTATTTATCTTGCCAAATTATTTGTATTAACATGAACGATAGCATGTCGCCGTCTGGGTATCAGACAATAAGGTCCAGTATGTGGGTGCTAGTCAGCATGGCAACTATGAGGTTCGCCCGGCATCTGACGTACTATTTGAGGGCAACCGACCAAAGATGGTATATCACAAGGATGGCGCATCAACGCACTGCTTCCGCTTTGCTACCAAGGACGATGAAGAGATCAAGAACGCCAAGGGAGTCTGGTTCCGGGGAGATCTCGTGTCGTACAATGGGTTCCCGAGTGGAATACGAGACAAGCTTTACGCTCACGACTTTGGAAAAGCCAACATTGCCCTCAAAGATTCTTCATTCCCCAACCAGATTGAGAAAGCCAAACCCGACAACATCAAGTTCGATATTAACCTAGATGAAAGCTCACCTGGCTATCCTTAAAGAGAGACAGTATATAGCCTATACTATTCATATATTAACAAATAGACGGCCTTAACCGGTACCCCATATCAAATACATATACAGTTTCCAGCTCCCAGATCATCGTTGAGGTCTGTTGACAGTCAAGCTACAGCTTACACGTACCGACATACAAGCATTTGTACGCGTGCTCGTATAAGGAAGGTCATGCTAAATGACAACTGCATTGAACACCAACAATGATGAAGAAGTTTTATAGAAATAATCTTTGAATAAGAGTAAATCTTTTATACGTACAATTAAATGAAACGTAATATGTCATTATCCATCGAGACTCTACTCTTCCTTGAACGTTGAAGCAACCGTTATGCACCGGCCACACTAAGCGTCCTCCCGCGTCACATGCGCCACAATTCACCGCCACAAACCATCTTAAGGCGCGCGCTGTCATTCAACACACTCTGGAGCTTCGCTTTGATCTCTGCGCAGCAGCACCATCGCCACCAGCAGCAGCAGCAACTCGTGCCCTATTCTAACGCTCAAATGGCCACGGGGGCACACGACAGTGGCATGGGTGCTGCAATGCCTACAGATGCTTCACCCGGGACGGCCAAGATGCCTCCGCCCGAGAAGCCTGCCGACGTGCGAAGGAGGCCATATATTATCATGTCGTTTTGGCTTGTAGTCCTACTCTTAGGTCTGCCCATTTGGTGGAAGACGACGACAATTTACCGAGCCAATCTCCCTATTGAAGCCATGCTGCGATGGGCAGATGGCAATGTGAGTTGCTCCGGTTGTTGACGCCTGCGCACTTATGCATCATGTATACTAACCAGATACACAGGCTTGTCGCCCCGTCTTCCCCCTACAGATCTCAGTCGAGGCCGAGTCGATGTCGCAACCAGAAGCTCAGCACTTAGTTCACTTGACGCAGCATGCTATTGACGACCTCAACGACTTCTCTGGCCACCACCTGCGTCTCCAGCTCGCTTCGTTCGAACAGCCTGACGATGACACCCCACCAGCTTTGGCCCTGCGCCTCCGTCCCGGTGACGACACGACCTCTTCCCTCGACCCGCACACGGCCGCCCTCGATGTCACATATCTCCCCGCGTCGGTACCTTCACTGAGTGCTGGCTCGTCCCCGCTGGCAACATACGTGGCTAACCAGCTACGCACCACCTTTGCTGAGGAGCAGTCCATCATTGCCTACCTCTTGTCTACGTCTTCGACAGCGTCGCCGGGTGAGCATCGGCCCGAGGCCCTGACACCGACAGCCATGGAGGCCTTGTCTAAGCGCACCACTCGATCCCTCCGCTACGCGCCCACTTACCACCTCGCCTTCTCCCTCTTTACCGACGGACCTAGCCCCAACACGTGGGATGTCCAAGGCGCTCTCGACCGCTACATCCGCCCCGTCCTTGACATGCTCGGTCCCATACATAACTTTACCGTCGACACGCAGCTTCAGCTGTATGCTACACCTGGCGTGCAGGAGCAGGTCCTCAAAAAGGAGCACCTGGCTTCGTTCATCAACGCTGCCGAGTGGCCCTTGTCGCCGTCTATTGGCGGTGCCCCGACCGTCAACTTTGTCATCTTTGTCGGTAACCAAACCATCGGCCTGGACTCGGGCGACGGCACAGAAGTCCGTACGTCGCAGTCCTGGATGATCCCCCAATGGGGCACCGTCTACCTGCTTGCCCTACCGCCTACGATTTCGCATGTTGCCGTCGACACATTGCGCCAGCCCATGCTCACATTTGCAGCCCACCTACTCACCCTCCTCGGCACGCCCGAGTCCGGGTCCCTACCGCTCCGTCTTTCTACATTGGGCCGTGTGCGCTCAGCTGACCTACTTCTCCGCGCTTCGTCGACTCTGGGCTCCCTGGCTCGCCTCTCGCTCGCTCTCCCGTCTATGTCCATTCCGCAGACTGTAGCAGACGGTGTCGCTATGAGCATGCATCATCTTGAGCTGGCGTGTGCCAACCTGGGCGGTCCGGCCGGTCTATGGCACGCCCGCATTGCAGAGGACGAGGCTGAGAGGGCATTTTTCGAGAAGAGTATGGTTGGACAGCTCTACTTTCCTGACGAGCACAAGGTAGCCGTCTATCTGCCTCTCTTGGGTCCCGTTGGCGTCACTCTCGTCATGGGACTGGTCAAGGAGGTCAAGAACTGGGTGGCAAAGAGGAAAGAAAAGGCCCGTGAGGCCAAGCAAAAGAAAGCAGAATAGATGTGCACAGAAGTGAAGGCCAATAGCATGAATTTGACGTTTCCCTATTATTTTAAGTCCATCTCCCTTGCATCTCATTAATTAGTTGTAATTGTCCTAGTCGTACCTTAATCAACAAAATGACGTAGAGGCGCGTCAAATTTGTACGCATCTGGCTGAGCCCAATAAAAAAAAGTGGCAGTCGCGGCGGACCAAAACACCATTGCTTCTTCCTAGCTTCATTTCTTTGTCATCAAAACGTCTGTACATTCTCTGCTCATAAGCCGAATGACACAATGACAATATGCATCTCCCAGAGCCGACTCTGACGCTGACGTTGCCCAGTATTCATGACGGCACGATACTCGACTGTCGCATCTACCATCCTCTATCTCCGTCATCCGAACTATGGCATCCGCGGCACGCCGCCGTCGTTGCTCACCCGTACGCTCCTCTGGGCGGATCGTACAATGACCCCATGGTTGCCGAGGTCGCTACCCAATTCCTCTGGGCGGGCTTCATTACTGCCACGTTCAATTTCCGGTAATTTGAAGGAGCTCTATCATTCCCTCATCCATTCATCAATAAACTAACGCTGCGGGAGCGGGGACTAGAGGGGCGGGAAACTCGACTGGACGCACATCATGGACGTCGAGGCCAGAACGCGACGATTACACAAGCATCGTAGGGTTTCTCGTGTACTACGTCCATAGTCTGGATCCCCGGAAGCCCGGCGATGCTGAGGCGCCCATTCTTGTCTTATCTGGCTACTCATATGGAGCCATGATAACGAGCCAGCTACCTCCCATCGAAGCCGTCATGGCTGTCTTCGCCAATCCGCCTCTGGACTCTGACGCCGGCCATATTCGCACACTGGCAGAGACTCTGGCCCATCAACAAAGGCGGATCACGAACTCGCATGGAATTCGCGTCGGCGAGACGAGCCCCAGGCGTCGCAGCTCTTCTATCGGCGACGGCAGCATACGCGGCATAGCGAGAAGAACACGACATCGCGCAAGGTCATCTCTCGGAAGCATAAACAGTATCAACAGCTCTGCTACGTCCCCAACGAGCCCTCAGCAACGGCAACGGCCAGATCTTACCCTGCCGCTGGTTTCTGGCCTTGTGCGGCCACAGCCAGCCTATCTGCTCATTTCACCCCTGCAAGGCCCCATCACAAATTTGGTCACCATCAGCAGGTCACCGGGCCACTCGGCTGCCGAGGCCCAGTTGCGCATTCACCCAACTCTTGCTGTCTACGGCGATGGAGACATTTTTGTGTCCGTAAAGAGGCTGAGGGCTTGGACGGAGCGCATGGAGAATGCTCAAGATTCAAAATTTCGTGGGCGCGAAATTCCTGGCGCTGGTCATTTTTGGATTGAAGAGGGCGTCTTGTCAGAGATGATGCGACTAGTTGCCGACTTTGTGAAACAGCTGCTTGGGCCTGGATGAGAGTGGAGGAGAGCCATTCCGATTAGTTACTCCCTTATTGGCATACAAGGAACATGAAAGGGCTGTCCCTCTTTAAATATGCGGTCCCGGCTCCCACCTGCTCGTCTCACCCCTCCCCCGAAAAGATACTTCAGATCCATACTTCCAACAAACAGATATCCCGGGCAGGTAGAGGTATAAGCCGGCGTCTATGAGGCCTCATACTTGGATGGTGATCATTATGACAGGAATTTTGTGGTGCGCACGATATGATCGACCATGATATCTAAAGAAAATACGTCGTGTGAGCAACTAAGACACCTTTGTGTTAGACTGCCTCCCATTCCAGGGAACACTCCCCGATGGGTGCACCCGTTACAATGATGTGGCATAGACTCGGTTCTTGCGTTACCAAAGCACTCCAAAATCTTGAAATATCTCAATATTTAATAGATAATAGATAACAGAGCATTATTGACGATTTATCCAATAGTCCATCTCTCGTTGTCTTGCCGAGTTGTATATTTTATTCATATGCCGTCATAAGTAATATTGGAAGTAATCATAAAAGTAGGACAAAAAACAGTTCAAGGTTGAATGTGACTTAGTTGTACGACTGACATGCACAACACCCGGCCAGCCCCATCTCAGAATATATGGGAGTATACCCCACAGAATAAAGGCCAGTGTGCGGGCCATGATTTTCATCATCCCTGGCTGTTACACACTGGATGAAGTGCTACCATTTCTCGCTCAACGATATAGGGTAAGCTACGCGACATGAACATGGGCTCATGGCTGTTTGATTGTTGCTTCTTGCGAAACAACAACAAAGCTCTTGCGCTCAGCTCCGTCATCAATCGCCCAGGAGGCATTTCAAACCGAGATGATGCTTGGGTAATTAAGCGCCTGCTAGCTCTTTTCTTTGCAGGACGCTGAAAATAGCACCATTAACATAAGACAACTAAAAATGTGTGTACAACCAAACGGCAAGAAGGATCCACAAAAGTTTGTCAAGCACGGCGGTTGGGATCGTACTTAGGCGCGCGCTACTACAGTACGATCCTCAGTATCTGACCAATGATAATGATATAGTTCCAAACAGACCCACTATCTTGCAATCAATCAATCATTGCCCAACATCGACAACCACCAAGCGCCCGCTTCCTCTCTGTCTCTTTTTGACATCAACAGAACAAAGGCAAGTATCCCTAGCTTCTTCGATACCCGCTGTCCAAATTCGGCGTCGTATGAATCCTCCTTGAGCGCGATTATATTCCATCGCGGCCAATGCCCATACCCTGTGGTGATGTCTCTGGGTCACCACAGGGCTGCATTGCATATGCCCCTCTTCAATTTCCCTCTTTCTCTGCTTGTTTATCATTTATCTATTGACGCCAATATCCTCCAAGGTTGCTATGTACAGGCACGATGTATACAGGTAGCTTGTAGTTTGATTTCTTAGTGTATATATGTACTTGTGTTATTTGCCGTCTTCGATCGGTACCTCCCCGAGTTCGATCCCGTTATAACCGGTATTGATTCCAAAGGACGGCAGCACCGGTCTGGGCGTGATATATCATGTATGCCACCCCCCCCCC